ACATTAATAGCGACCTAAAACGTACCTAGGATAACTATTTTGATTCCCTCGACGACTAGACCGCTATTTAGTAGCAGACCTACAAAACTATTATACTAGACACCCTTAGAAACCCTATACTAAGGCAATAGCATACTTAGGACCTGTACCTTCGAGCTAAATAGAAGACTAATCAATCGGCTCGCTTATTCGAGGCCTATTTAAAAACCCTTAAAGACGACCTTCCGCCTAAGACTAATTCTATATAGATCTCCGAGATACGCCTAAAACTTAGATAGGAGCTTATCCTCGAATTAGACCGTCGCCGTGTGTTTAAATAGGCTAACCTAATACGTATTTAATTTATAGTCGAGGTAGAAATAGCTAAACGAGCTATCTAGCTTTAATAACGACTAGAATTAAGGATCCGACCTGCTAGCAACCGTAGTAACCGTAGCCGCGGAGGAAACTAAGGTTCCTACTATAATAACAATACTAATAATAGGAATAGTAACAATAACCGTAGAAGAGGCCGTAGCCGCCGGCTATATAGAGGAGGCCGCGATAGAGGCCGTAGAAGGGGCTCGTATCCCTACAATACTAACCGCTCGGCTAATAATAGCAATAATAGCTACGGCAACCTACTAACCGGATTGAAGTGCTTTAATTGTAATAGTACTAGCTATCTACTAGGCTAATGCGACAAACCTAAGGACTAGGCCCGAATTAACCGTACTTCCGCTAAATACCGAAAGCACCTCTTAGCGGCTAACGCTATCCCTATAGGCTAACCTTCGAAAAAAGAATAAGCGCCGCACTAACTATTAGCCTTGTACGGCGTAAGACTATCGACATTATGCTAGCTATTATACGTACCTGTCTTATATCTAGGCGCGATACTAACTATAAGGCAAAGGTTATACTAGACCTAGGAAATTCAGTTAGTGCCCTTATTAGCTATCGCCTAGCTAAGCAATTAGACCTTCGACAACTGCCTAGGACTAACCTGCTAACCCTTGCTTGGTTTAATAACGCTCGGCACTTAACCTATAGAGCTTACTATGTCTATATAGCCCTAAGAGATAACCTCGGCAATAAGCGCCTACTAAACTTTACTACCTACGCGGTAGACATAGATAGCCTCCTATCCGATATTGTTATTAGCAACCCTATCCTTAAGTACTATGCTATAGTTATAGACTTAGGCAGTTAATAATAGCGATTTAGAATCGCTAGGAAAGAGGACATTAAATACATCGACATTAGCGAGTGTCCTAACGATATTAGGGTCCTATTTATTAGCAACTTGACACCCGCCTTAGCTAATCCAACTGCCGACCTGCTCGGTAGTAATAACGATAAACCTATGCCCCCTAATAGCATAGACCCTAATTAGCTTACTCGTATACTAGAGCCTATCCGAGAGACCTATATTAATATGTTTGAATACTACCTAGCATCGACATTGCCTATATTCAAAGAGACGGATTATAAGATTAATATTATAGAGGGCAAGGAGGTTCCTTTTAGCCCCCTCTACAACCTTAGTAAACGAGAGCTTACTATATTGCGTAAGTACCTAGAGGAAAACTTAGCTAATAGTCGAATTCGGTATAGCAACAGCCCTGCTAGTGCACCTATCCTATTTGTACTAAAAAAGGATAGTAGCCTACGGTTATGTATTAATTACCGTAGACTTAATGCTGTTACTATTAAAGACCGCTGTCTACTTCCGCTTATTAACGAGACCCTCGATCGCCTTTCTAGCGCTTACTACTACACTATATTAGATATTAAGGACGTATACTATCGCATCCGTATCCGTAAGGGTAATAAATAGAAAACAGCCTTCTGTATCCGCTATAGCTATTTCGAGTATTTAGTTATACTATTTAGGCTAGCGAACGCCCCTATAACATTCTAGTCCTACATTAATCGGGCCCTATTAGGCCTATTAGACTATCTCTATATAGTTTACCTAGATAACATCCTAGTCTACATATATTCGCCTAATATTGCAGAACACTAGGCCGTAGTGCGTAAGGTCCTCGACCGCCTACGAGCCTATAGACTATATTATAAACCTTCTAAATGCACCTTTGCTACTAAAGAGGTGTTATTCCTTAGCTTCCTCGTATTAACCGAAGGTATTAAGGCTAATCCTAATCGGATCAAAACAATTACTAAATAGCCTGTTCCTACGTCTATTAAGGAGCTTTAATCGTTCCTCGGCTTCGCTAATTTCTACCGCCGCTTTATTAAGGGCTATTTACGGCATGTAATGCCCCTAACTAAGCTTACTAAAACTAAGGCTAACCTAACTAGAGAGTTCAAATAGACTAATAGAGCATAAGCCGCTTTTAACGACCTAAAGTAACGCTTTACTAATGTCCCCTTATTGCACTATTTTATACTAAGCAAGCAGATCTATATTAAGACTAACGCTTTATAGTTCGCTATATCGGCTATTATATCCTAGCAATCAGATAAGGACTATTACTAGCACCTAATTGCCTTCTTTTTACGAAAGATAATCGATATAGAGCGTCGCTACGAGACCTACAAGTAAGAGCTCTTAGCTATTATTAAAGCCTTTAAGTATTAGAGGCACTATCTCGATAGTGCATAGCATACTATTTAGGTCTACACAGACTATAACAACCTCCGTAGCATTACTAAGGTTACTAGGGTTATAGGTCGATAGGCTAGATAGGCCGTCTACCTCGCTAGGTTTGATTTTAATATATTATATCGGCTAGGCGTAAGCAACCCTACTAATAGCCTATCGAGGCGACCTAATTACGATAGCGAGACCTAATACATCAATTCTTTGTTTCTAACCCTATAGTATAAGATTGCTATAGCCTGTATTATTAATAAGCAAGCGTAGGATAAGCGGACTTCCGGACCCCGCGGCGGTAACAAATACTATAGCGGAGTTGTCGTTCTTCTAGTGCGCGTTAGAAAGGACGTAGATCGCTCGAGCTATAATAACTCGAGTAAAGACATTGCTATCTATAGTAATAGCCTATATAGCGATAGCACTATAGAAGAGGTTGTAGTAGTTCCGGCTACTAGTGCTATTAGATATATATAATACGTACCTCGTTCGATAGCGAGGGTGCTATTAAATAACCTTACAAATAGGGATAGTTAATCGTTTATAGATAAGCTATTACGTGCTTAGTAGAGGGACGCCTTTGCTATCGAGCGTATTAATAGGCTTGTAAGTAGGCGAACGACTCGATCTAGTAAGAGTAACAATAATTAGTCGATCGACGACAAGGGTTACTTAAAGTTTAAAGGCAGATATTATATCCCCGCTAAACAATCGATTAGATAAGAGCTTTTAAAGAGGCACTATAATAGTGAGCTCGCTAGTTACTATAGCATAGAGAGGTCGTACGAGTTACTATCGCGCACATACTACTAGCTAAATAGTAAGCGGTATATAAAGGAGTATATATAGACCTATATAGTATACTAGCGAGTTAAAGCACTAAAGCACTTGCTATTCGGCGAGCTGTCTTTACTCCCTGTTCTAAAGAAGCTATTTGCTAAGCTAACAATAGACTTTATTATAGGCCTTCCGCCTACTAAGCGTAGGGGCAGTAAGGACGTATATAATGCTATCCTTGTTATAGTAGACCGATTTACTAAAGGCGCTCGATATATCCCGGCGCGGAAAGACTAGACTGCTATTAATATAGCAGAAGCGCTATAGAGTAATATCTTCTATACCTATTAGGGAACCCCTAAGGGGATAGTCTCCGATAGGGGCTCGATATTCATATCTTACTATTAGAGCGAGATTTGCTTATAGCTAAGACTAAAGCATCGGCTATTAATAGCCTTCTATCTACAGACTAACGGTTAAATAGAGAGGCAGAATGCTACTCTATAGTAGTACCTGCGTAGCTATATTAATAAGAACCCCGAGGATTAGGTTAACCTTCTATAGCCTATAGAATTCGTATATAACAATAGTATACATTTAGCAACTAAGATCTCGCCCTATATAGCTATAATAGGCTAGAACGCTACTATGCTATAAGACCTACTATCGCTCGAGGCCGAGCGTAAGGAAAGGGAAGCGCGTTAAGTATCCGAAACACTAGCGGCTATTAAGAGGGTTTAGAAGATGCGAGAAATCTATACTAAGATAGCCGAGAAGTTAACAAAGGCTTAAGAGTACTAAAAGACCTACTACGACAAGTACTATACGCTAAGGACCTTTAAATAAGGCGATATAGTTATGCTAAGCACTAAGAACCTCCGTATCCGCAAGCACCTATCCCCTAACGGCAAAACAAGGCCTAAGCTCGTACTAAGATACATTAGTCTATTCCGTATTCGAGAAGTTAAGGGCTCCTCCGTATAGGCCTATTAGTTATAGCTTCCTCCTTATTACACTATCTATAACACCTTCTATATATCTCTCCTTAAGCTATATTACCTACGCGAGGGGGATAAAGCCTCTACTAAATACGAAGACATACTAGCGGATAGTAAAGAGCTATAGTCTATAGAACGCATTCTAAAGTACCGGACTAGGTAAGGTAAGAAGGAGTACCTATTAAGATAGCAAGGCTATTTACCTAAATAGGACTTATAGGAAGCTAAAGGTTCCTTTAAGGATATAACTAAGTTGTTAGATAAGTATTAGACTAGTATAAAGAATAAGAAGAAGGCTAAGGGCCTATAATGTCGCCTAGGAATAATACTACCCCTAGGGTGCTATTAGCTAACTAATTAAAGACAAGCAATTGTTAGCAACAAAGGACAATAAGACTATACCCGGCGCGCTACGACGCGTTAATTAATTAATCGCATGCTCTTTTAAGGGCTCTACCTCTTTACTAATGCGCCCTATAAGGCCCTTCTCCTAGTATTTAGGTCCCCCTCTTGTTCCTTTATTCTATTAAGGCCTAAGGCCTAGGCGGTTAATAGAGGCGGCGCGCGCGCGCGTAGGCGAATGGTGTTAGTAATAATAATAGTAACGACGGCGTTACGCTTATGCTAAAGGGCGACACGGCCGGCGCTGCAGCACATTTTATTGAATTCTACAACGACACTTTCACACTCACGTATGGCACGTGACAGCTTGCGCGATATTGGTTGTTGTTGGCTTGAGAAACAGCCCTGCCATCGGTTTTCCATACGCGTGACACTCGTTCATTGCAATTGCCCTTGATTGCCATCGCCATCCTCACACCACACAGCCACACTACACTTCGCCTGGTGTGCTGGGTGCTGTGTGCTGTGTGCTCTCTTTTCCGATTTTCTACTTTTCTTGCTCGCTGCTTTCTTTCCCTTTGCTCCCATATCCAAGCACATCAACCGCCTCCACACGCCCAACCTCAGCCTCAACCTCATCCTCATCCTCGTCCACTCGCCTCCACGTCGCCTCCTCTTCACCGTCGCAACCAACCGAAAGCCTATACCTGCCCGAAATCCGAACTCCCTTGTCATGCGTCATATACACTTTTCCAGCTGCAAGAGCAGATGGCATTCACAGCCTTGGCGGTATTCCGTGGCTTTTCCACTTCTGCGAGTGCGCCTCCGCCATCGAAAAGTGTTCGCCGGCGCGATCCATTCTGCGGCGTGCTATAATTTATGTGCAAATCTGTACATCGAATCGTATTATCTTGAACCATCGTCACGTTTTCTCATGATGCCAACGACGTGCACGACGCTTCCGCGCGTCGGTCCATGTGGGAGGCTTCAGTTTCGAGCGCTTTCGCCATGACGTGCGTGACTGCAGTGCATGTTAGCATCATTGGATTCTGTCATCAGAGCACCCTTGGTTACCCACTTGGCCAAATCACCGCTTTCTCGAGCATCATCGCTGTGACTCTGAGAATCTTGCTTCCGAAGCCGCACGAACTCAACGCCACCCCGTTGTGCATGCCCGCCGTCGATGCGTTGAAGTTGCTAGTGTCCATCACGAGAAGGTTCATCTGCTGCACCCGCTTCTCCTCCATCACGCTACAGATCGTCTCAATCTTGCGCAGCAGCTCGACATCCTCCGTCTCCAGAAGCATGATGGCCGGAACTTGCGTGTAGTCGATGGAATCACGACCAAGCACACCGAGGTATCGCCCAGCTCGTTCCTGGATAGTAGTGGCCCACTCCGCAAGTACTTGTACGCAGTCAAAGAAGCAGATTGCCGACTGGATAGGCAGCTCTTGAGCAATCGGGTCCAAGTATGTCAGGCTGCACGTACACGCAATCGTCAGAGAGTCAGCCGCATAGTATGCCGCTTTGCGCAGATGACGTTCACGCCTCGTAGCTGTCTGATCTGCCGACTGCGCTTTCGACATCCTGCGTTGCATGATTGACTGCCGTCCTTCACCCGAACCTGACTTCATGCCATCTTTCGATCCTGAGTCCGCGTCCACTTCTTGGCCAATGGAATTTGTTGGAGTCGGCTCCCCGCCACTTCGCAATTCTTCCGCCATGCGATCAAACTCGCGCGCCCAGAACGCCTCGGCGGTGCGACCAAGATTCAAATATAGTCGTACAAAGGCAAGGTCGAGGAGAGGTATGCTGTCAGCGGCGAGTGGGCCCATGCCGAAGGGGTTCGGTCGCTCCAATCTGTGCCGGTCATTGGCTTTCCAGGCAGCTTGCCAAGCATTCAACGCCGGCTGAATGTGTGCCACCATCGACTCCGTCTCTTGAACAGTCCACTCACGTCCACGGTGTCGACTTCGCGTCTCCCAGATGTAGTTATGGAGCGCATTGATGAGGACCAGACAGCCGAATGTGCTTGGTCTGATATCGTTCTCGCCATATACATCTCCGCTTCCAGGTCCGTTATTGCTGCTGTTGTACGCGCTGGCGGCATGATCGTTACCGACCCGCTGATTAGCTGTCAGTAATGTGCTCAATGCGCTGGCAAAAGAGACAGAAGTAGCCTCAGCCCTCGCCAGTCCACCGCGGGTTTGCCACTCCTCTGCGCTCGCTGCCTCATACAGTTCCTCTTCACACGGCAGGTCAAGAAGGATTTCCGAGTTCATGATCGTAGGAGTCTGATTGTAGGCAATCATGAGAATGCTTGAGAGGATGAAGATGGCGAAGAAGCATCGCTTTCGCTCTTCGCGGTCCTTCCACTGTATCCACTGAGCTTGCACATCTGTCTCCTCCTGCTGAGAATTAGACCCGTCGCCATTCATCTCGGTGTCTGTGTTCGGTTCCGATGTCTGCGGAGATCCATTCGGCGACGATCCATGATGTGGCTGCGCCAGGTTTGCTGCCCGTGCGAGACTGACCAGCGCAGCAATGTGGTTGCTGGCAATATCAGCAGCAAGTCTATCGCCGCAGTGGTGTCCGTATATGACGGTAAGCAACATGGCTTGTACCAGCCACAGTGGTGTCTCTCCAGCGGCTTGTGAACCATTCACAGCAGCAGACATATCAGCCTTCCTTCGCTCCTCCAGGTACAACTGAATCATCTTTTTGGCCGCTTCGAACAAGTCTTTCGATGCAGGGTGGTCGTACTCGTACAATGCACCGATGGCTGCCATGCCTAATATGAGGCATCTGGCACCTCCCTTCTCGGCAGTGTGAGCGGCATAGCTCGTGGGTGAACCTCTTTGTGGTGGGGTGGGTGCACTCGCAGCTGCTTCGATGGTATCAAATGAGAGCGTGGGGAGATGGGCTATCGGCAAATGCGGGTGCGCATACTGCATAAATGCCTCGATGTATCTCCGAATGTCAGCTGTGCTTGGTAACGTAGGACCATTGGCTTGCGTGGACGGCCTTGAACCTCCGGCAGGAGAGAGTGGTGAGCTCACGGATGGCTGTGAGTACTTTCGAGTAGTGTGGCCGCCGAAGACAGAAGGCTGCGCTAGGCTGTTCAAGAGTGCTTGGCGTGTTGAGTCGGTGATAGAGTCGGTCGACATTGAAGTCACTGAACTCTGTCTGGCGCTATTGCTCATGGAAGATGACGAGATGCTCGGGCTGTTCGAACCAAAGTTGGAGAGCGGGTTGCCGAAGAAGTTGACACCCTGGACTGGCGCGGCTTCATGCTGGCCAGATTGTTTCTGCTGCTGCAAGCTATGCTGCATCATCGCTTGATGGAAGTACTCGTTGCCTGTAGGAGTTGGGTCTTGTAGGCTGGACGGAGAAATGGTACCATTCGCATCGAGATTGGGTAATCCGCTGCCCAAAGCTTCCAATTGAAATGGTCCTTGAGACGTGTGCGATATGGTCTGATGCAGAGACAGATCCGGCTGTTGCCACTGGAAGTTGTTCTGAATCGGGATGCCATTTTGACTGCTGACCATGCTGTCGTCGAAATCAGCTGGACTATCTCCGCTGCTCATTCTTGAGGGTGAGGATTCTTCGACAGCGTTCTCATTGTCGTGGCCATTTAGCATATTCATGTTCCAATTGCGCATCCAGCCAAAATCGTCGTCGATCGGAACTTGCTGATTGGTGCCAGGAACGATTCCAAATGGCATATCCGAGGAAGAAATCTGTCCAGCAGAGCCGAAGTGTAAAGCTGCCGGATTGATGGTAGTATGGGGAGTGAACAACTGATCAATATCGAAGCCGGCAAAGTTAGCCTGGGGTGGCGCCGTCCGCAAGGAATTCGTCACGTCGAGCTGATTGATATGGTGTGTATCGAGTTTTGGCAGGCCATGCACATTTCCATGATGCCCCATAGCTGTCGACATGCCACGATAGCCATAGCCACCAGGACCTGGAAGGCCACCCATCATCCCGTGCTGTCCGATTCCAATTCCCAGCGGATTCATCTGATTGATCTGGGCGTGATGTCCATCAAGCAGGCCAAGCGAAGACAAGTCGATGTGGCTGATAGTGTTAGCTCTGGGGCGAACGTTGTTAGAAGCCATGCCATTGGCGCCCCCGACATTGATATTCGCAACGGAATTCTTGCGCACTCTGCCATTGGCATTGGCCCCAGTGCCGGCAGCGCTTTCTCGTCGTCCTTGTCGAGGTCGGGTCTGAGGGTTGGTCATATGCAGTTTTTGCTGGTGACGAAGTAATAGATCTCTTCGCGCGAAGCATCTTGTGCACTCGGGACACTCAAATGGCTTCTCTTTCGTGTGCGATCTTTCATGTCGCTTCAAGTGCTCCAGGCGTGCGAACGAACGACCGCACGTGTTGCACACATGCGGTCTCGGTTTGTCAGTCTTCGGCGGGGGAAAGTTGCCATTCGTTGCGCCATTTTGACTACCATTGCCGGCCTTCCCGTTGGTTGTGGTGTTGGCAGCTGCGATGGTGCATCGTCAGTATTCGACTGTTTGTACAGCAAGTGCTTCTCCACAATGTGTAAAATTCATACCGTTGGTCGTGGGAGCATTGGCAACCTTCGTTGTCGAACCTGGGGATTCGCTATCCGGCTCTGGCTTAGCGATTGCTTCAGGTTGCATGCTCCGAAGCTTCTGACGATGGTATTAAAGTACGGCGTTGCAATTGATCCAAGAAATAAATTATGTGAGAAGAAGAAGAAGAAGAAGAGAAGAGAGTCGGCTACTGGTCGATGGCGGAGTCGGAGGGTAGTGTGAGGGGAGCACGACCACAGTCGCGAACGCTCATCAGAGGCCGTGGGCGTTGGGATTTTCGGGAAGAAGAATGCTGAACGGTGGTCCTCCAACGACTCCAGCGAGTTCCCGCAAGCAGAAACGCGGTGTCTTGCCTCGAACGTCAAGCTTTGCTCTATCCGGGGTCGCTTCGAGCGCAGGGGTTGATGCGAAAAGTCGTGTCCCACAGACGATATTGATATTGTCGTTGGGTAACAGATTATTCGAAGGGCAGCAAGTCCGGAAGCTCTGCAAGTGCGAAGTTGTGGGAAGCAAGTGCGATGTTGCGTGCTTGTCTGACCGAAGGCTCGATGCGGTATGGACGCTCAGCGCAGAGCGGGTCGCAAGTGGACGATGGACGAGGGAGTCTAAGCAGAGCAGACTTTCAGAGGTTCTGGGTCTGCGTCAGCTGGCATCCGCGCATACGCCGGCTATTCTAGGCTAGCAGATAGACTTTTGCTCGTGCGGCGTGCCGCTAAAGCACTTACACGAACAGTGAATAATGGTGGAAGGGAAGTGGCAGCCAGGCAGCGTGTGCAGAGCAGCGGCTAACTCTATTGCCAGGAATGAGACGAGACGAGACGAGCTGCGCGAAGAGGCTGTGTGAAGTTTCTGTGGCCCTGTGGTGTCGGGTGCAGGCTGGAGGCTGGAGGGAGCTTGGGGGCTGGCAGGCGGCAAGCTGCCCGTTCTCGACTGCAGTGTTCAGAGTCAAGGAAACGATGGAGGTGAATCGACTGTGCGGTCACAGAGCAAAGAGCTTGCCAATAATAATGACCAGGCGAGTATTTGGGGGGAAATCTGGGGTTGCACTCTGGAGACTGGAGACGGGTGTCGATGATGGGCAACGGGCATCCTGGAGCGCACAATGGGCGGCAGCGCCGGTGCCACTCTCCGAGCCCGATGCTCAGATCAGTGGGCAGTCCTCGCGCGCGCAGGCCTCGCAGCGCTCGCCGCTCGCCGGGCCTGTCTGCTACATACATACTACTCTGCTTTGGTCGGCAGATGTCTTCCGGGAAGACCGCTGTCCAGCGTGCACTGTCCGCGCAGCCTGCCTGCCTTTGCCTTTGCCTTTGCATTACCTTTCTGCCTCTGCCTCGCGCACCCCTTGGCACTTCTTGCACTGCGCAGCGCCAGCATCGTCGCCGCCACTGATTCTGTGCCCACGTCCACCGCTGCCTGAGACGCCGGCCGCGCTGTCAATGCTGGATGGCATAACGACGCCGTGCATCGCCAAATTGCTGAGCATTGGCTCCGTCCGGGCGGCTTCCATGCGCTGATTTGACAGGGTTTGCGTCGCAGGCACTGGCACTGGCACTGGCACTGGCACTGGCACTGGCACTGGCACTGGCACTGCACTGCACTGGCACTGGCAGGCTGGGCTGGGCTGGCGCGGGCTGGGCTGGGTGCTGCAAGGTGTGGAACATGGTCTTTTGGCCTCGGACTTGTAGAAACGCTATGCCTCAACGCTGCTAGGCCGCGCCGCCTGCTCGCCGATGCTGATGCTGATGCTGTTGTTGCTCGAGTCCAATCCTGCCGCGCCAGCTTCATGCCGTATGAGACGCACAGTAGACCCGGGGCAGCGGCAGCGCCTGTCTCGTCGGAGTGGCTCCTGCAATTATGCCTATGCCCGCGTTGCGCACGCGGTTCTTCACCATCGAGACGAGCACGAGCCTCTCTCCACCTCTCTAACAATGGCTTCCTGCCACCGCAAACTGTCTCACAGCACGGCAGACGAAGTTGGTGCAGTAGCCAGCCGATCATCGGCATCGCAGCAGGTGCAGGTGCAGGCGCAGGCGCAGGTGCAGGTGCAGGTGCATCTACGACATGACAGGCCAAGAGCTGGCCGGTTGTGACCAACGCTGTGGGCCAGCGTGGTAGAACTAACGCTACCACACTTTGCACGCCGGACGGGACCAGCATACAAACCGACTACCACCTTCATCGCTGCTCGCGCTGCCTCGAGCGATGAGCAGGCTGTCGAAATACTGACCACATGGCTCTCGGCATCGCGGTCGGCTCTGTCCATCCTGCTGTCTATCGCTTGCTGCAGGTTGACGCGGTCGGCCGGTGGCAACGGCAGCGGCAACGGCAACGGCGAATCATCAGCTAATTTCTCACCTCACAGAATAGAGAACGCGGCCAGGAACGCACGAAGTGGCAAGCAGGCCGCCTGCCGTGTGCAACTGCATTGTGCATTGATTAGGAACGTCTGAACTATCACGCACGCACAAGCAGCGCGCGAGCGGCGAAGGGTCCACAGACTTAGTGAAGTTAGAGAGACGGCTTCATGCATGGCGGAACCTGCAGCGTGAACAAGGGCTCGGAGGCGAATCACTGGCGCCAAGCCTGGCTCGACAATCGAGTCCAGCGCAGCCGCCGCAGCGATGCAGAGTGCAGACGTGAGATGCAAGCTTGCGGCCAGGTAGCTCATGCAAACGACTGTACTTGTGACCTCGTCCCACGCCACTCGGGCCCATCTTGTTCAGCCCGCTATAACCGGACGTCATCCTCTTCGGCACGGGAGCACAAAGTCAAGCAAATGAGAGCCTCCAAAGCCGGTCCTACTCTCATCATCATAATACACGCCCTTCGCCCGTCCACACGCATCGTCACTGCCCTTCTGTGCACCTGACCGCTCTGTGTTCGTGATGTGTGCGCGAAAAAGCGCCGTGTTTCGTGGTGCGCGAGGATGCGCTGCAAGAGGGAGGCATTGGTGCTCTTGCTGCAAGCCTGCAATCTGCATTGTGATTATTCCCTCCGCTGGCCGCTCGATTCATGAGCATGCAACGGCTCGGACTCTCTGACCCTCGACCTTGGCAGCCTTTCAAATCATACCTACCATATGCAGCTAGACCGCCCCAGATTCTATGCAGGCCATATGCTTAGCGCATGCGCCTCCGTTCCAGAGCACGCAGGCTTTCGTCAGATTGACCGGTGCTGATTGGAATCGCTTGCATCCCTATGAACTCTGAACAGCGGCCTCGCTCTGTCTTGCACACGCGAGCCGTGAGCAGCAAAAGCAGCCACGGCCACCGCTGATGATTTCTCCAAGCCAGCCGAACCGTCACACTGTCAATCAATATTGTACCCTGGCAGTGTGGCTCTTGCAAAGTATCATCAGCCGTTCTGACATGCGAAGCTGCAGAATTCGATCGACAGGACGTTGGGAATGATGACTTTTAGAAGTACCAGACGTAAGCGAGCACGCCGAGGAGTTAGAACTAGAGAAACGCCTGCTGGATTCACCAGATTGGAAACAATGCAAACGCCGCACTGTTCACGCGCTGCATTGTGGGTAGCCGCTTCTCTACAATCGAACGTCTGCTCTGTGGAGGCCCCACTATCTAATACTGCACAATACAGTAGAATAAATTGAACCCAGACGGAGTCTGCCGGCGAGCAGCTGAAGACTCGCTAGCATTACTGGTCGCGACGGTCGCGACGCTTTTGGCTTTTAAGGGTCTGCAAAGCAGTTCCCGAATTCCTTCAACCGCTACGGCGAGGCGAATCATCTGTGTAGATCGCAAGGACACGAAGTCAGGCGACATGTCTATATACAGCTGGGCAAGGGAGTGCTGGGCAGGAAAGCCGATCGTGTGTGAATTGAGATCTAGACAGGTCCCGTCCCGACCAAGATCGGATGTGTTTCTACTTGTGACACCTCAGACACTACTTCCCGAGCGGCGGTGTTACTGATTTAGACGCCCACACGTGAGTATGAGCCTTGTGCGACTTAGGTTGTCAACGGCTTGCGCAACCAGGGTTATAACGAGCGAGTAACGAAGCTCCTCTGAAACTCCAAAATCACTACAATAATGTCTTAAGCCGCGCTTCGATCAGCGGCCTAGTGATGTGCGTGAGACTCGCCGCCCATCGCAAGAACATCATCGTCGATGCCCAGCTGTCTGCCGTGTATGCACGCAATCATGGCGAGCATCATTATTGGCGTCAGCTCGTTCGGACGCAAAAGTCGTCGCATGAGAATGACAAACCTGAGGGTCCTGAGCTCATATATGGAATTGGTTGGTCTCCTAAGCTGAGCAGGCCGATCAGCTTCTGGCAGCGATATACCTGCTCTGCCCCACCATTCCCCCGCGATCATGCTAGCTGGAGCTGCAGAGCTGCAGCCTGCGAGCGAGCTTCTTTGAGCTGCCCGGCTAGTTATCCCTTGCGTCGCTGTGCGCGAGCATTCTCCTCGTGGCTCGAGCTGGGCATACCGTGAGCTGGTCTCCTGTCGGCTCTGCAAGGCTTAAGCTTCGCATTCACTGTATTCGTCAAGACGAGCGAGTCAGGTATGTGACTATGTGTGCGCAGGCGCCGTCATCGCCGGAACATTCTTGGCTGCCACGTGAGCGTCTACTGCAAGCCTGACCAGGCGTGGCGCCGAAAGCATTTCTGGCGTGAATGACGAGGGCAGAACCTGACTCGATATCGGCCAACTCGCGAGCGGCCAGGCTGCACTTCCTACACTTACACACATGAAATTTACGCTGCTTGTGAACTCGACGGCAACTCGGCTCGAAGCCAAGGGTTGATCTCTATGCACTATCCACTGATACTTTCATATACCCACACATCCCAAAGATGGATCACTGTGGGCAGACCAGTGTTGTTGAGAATCCGTCGGCGCTTGATGGAGCATCTGAGCCGTTGAGAAACGCCCAGCGCTCCACAGACCCGCCCTCAGTAGGAGTTCGGCGATATTGTGGTGGAGAGACCGTATGGAGTACATAGTCATAGTATGCCGAGAGTTGGCCGTTTGGGTTATCGAGAACTCATGGCTTGGCCGAAAAGGCGAAGTCACAATAGAGAATAGCACATGTTCCTGCAGCGAACCGAGCGGAATCTTCATCTACTCATTTCTTGTTTTTGCCTTTCTTCTTCTTGCCACCGCCTGCGCCTTGCGGGGCTCTTACTTCGCTTGCGACAGGAGCAGCTGTCACGTCTGCTGTAGATGTGGGTTTATCTGAAGTTGGAGCGTCATCCATGACTATATCGAGAGCTGTGCATACCTTAGCATCCAGGCAGTAGCATCCCAACAAGTCCGTTTCTCACCTTCTTGCTGCTCAGGCAGAGCAGCCATGTGTCTCCCAGCACGGCCCAAGCTATTGATCAAGCGACCTACATGCGCTGCTTTGTCCGTCTGAAATTTGAGCACAACTCCAGAAGCCGGATCATAGGTTTTCAATGTGAGGGTTGCGACCTGCGCTTCGGTCGCTGCTGCTGCTGCTGTATCTGCATGGTCCTTCTCACTGTCCCTCTTTCGCTTCAAAAGCTTTTTCTTCAGTGCTGGCGATTCAGGGTTTGGAATATTGTACTTCGTGGTGATTCTGGTCTAGGAGGAATCGTTAGAACTGGATTTCCAGGGCTTTGCGCTCTCTGATGCACTTACGCACCGTAGTCGGTCGCGCCTGCAACAGCAGCATAGACTGCTGCTGCCATTCTTCGGCTGTGGCCAGGTAGACCATCTCCTCTGTTCTGGTGTTATTTTGGGGGTCGTAGAGGCCGGGAGCTCTTCGCGGAGGTTGAGTCGCGACTGCGCCAAGACGCACAGACGCTAGCGTGGAAGTAGCCACTTCATGTGCACACGTACTCTTCCCTCCAGTGAATATTATCAACAAACTTATCCGCTCTCGCCGCTTTCTTGCTGGCGCTGGAGACTACAAGCTTACAACAGAATTTTGACATTCGCTGGGAGTTCATAATCCTGTGGCTGGACCGGAGAAGGCAGAAGGGGAGTACCAAGAAAAAGATCGAGCGAGTCATTGCCACGAAGTTCCTGTCATCGATCAAAGAAGACGACATCAGTGGCACGCTCTGTTGGCCTGATCGATTGCAACAATTTCCTGTTGAGTTGTCCCTCTGGCAAACTTTCTTGCAAGTCTCCATCATGACATCAGATTCGAAGCCACTCGACGACGAGCCTGTCATGGACAAGCTGATGTCTCTGGCGGAGCGCTCTCGTGTCCTTCTAGCAGAATTGGAATCATTTCGGCACCATCTTCGAACCGTGCGTCAGGAGCAGCATGTCGAAATCGCCCATTTTCGAGGCACGGTACAGTCAGAGCTGAGCATGCTTGAACGACTTGCAAACAAGCCTGAAAGCGAGTCAACATCGCATGTGGCTAGATCATCCAATGTAAGTCGATCTCGGGCCCATAATCTCATCTTATATCCTTACACACACCTTTTGATGTCATTGTCCATTGCTGCCGCATCTCACAGCAACGAGACGGAGCTGCGAGTGAAGAGCAGGGCGGCCTATAGGGATCTCCGCCTGTCTTATCTTGTCACAATGACTAACATATCTAATTTCCAAGGTTCCGTTTCTTGAAGCGGTCTGGAGCACTGCAAAGAAGTCAGAGAAGGTCCTGGCCTTGACGAAACGGATCTATTTCAATAGTCCAAGCAAGTCCTTGTCGCAGGCTATGCATCACGTCAATCTGGGCCCGAAGAAGCGTCCAATGGCGAAAGGATCGAAAGACGCAGCTGTGACTGTCGACGCGATCACGGAAGGAGGCCTGAGATGGATCAAAGTGTCGCTCGTCACCAATAATCGCATTCTCTTCGACCTAGCCAAGCAGGGCTGGAACTCGGGAGGCTCTGAAGATGAGGAAGAAGAGCAGGACTCAAATGTGACCATGATTGAGGAGGAATCTGATGTTCCGCTCGTCAGAAACGCGAGAGATCTATGCAACGCGGCACAGTCGTACAGGGTCCGTACGAGAAAACCTCAGGTCCATCTTATCTTGCCTCGAGTACAAGAAGGAGAGACAGACAAAGTCGATGATGTCCTAGATCTTTGCCGAGCAGCTGGTGCCGTCCTACATTGCGGCGGCAATCTCGACACGCCACCCGTTCTTGACGATGCTTTGCCGCGGATGGCTCCTGATCCCATGTGGGCATTTTCAGAGAAGCTTAACATCGACTGCACTATACTTCTGGCTCTTGTCTCTGATTTCTCCCATTCGAAAGTATCAAAGGAATCTTGGTTCCACAAGGCGTTGCGACGCCAAGTGGAGATCGAAGATAACGAGAATCTTCTACCTTCTCTTCTCTATCCCGCAACGCGTCGCCACATTCTGGTATGCACAAAAGAAGCCTCGAAACGCATGCGAGAGATCGTCTCCACCATTGGTACACCTTCCGAAAAGGCCCGAACTGCAATAATGATGGGCGATGATAATTCCAAATCTCAGGAAGACTTGATCAACGAAATGCAGCAGTGGTCGGCGTACGAAGTTCCGGCAGATTGGCTCCTACCGATCAGAGACGTTGACCGAGATGAAGACCACTGCCTGGACTCTTTACCTGCCGTAGCATCATCTGTGGCAGAGCACATGACGGACATCAATAAATCTGTCTTTTTACATGGATGGGGAACAGGACGAACAACCATTTCCAGCAACAGAACTGTCGTTAGGCAGCTTGAGACCGACTTGGAGAAGTATGATGATCTGCCAGAGACGGCGTGGCCAAAGATCTGGCTCTGCCCAACGTCTCGGTCGCTTGTCGGCAAGGAGAAGCGTGGTGCTAAGAAAGAAGGAGCCTGGCCGTTACCAGATCCGTTGTGAGTGCGCCGGCTACAACAGCATGTTGGCGTCTTCTAAGCGGTCTACTGACAAGCCATATCTATGGTGACCAGGCGCCGAGAACAGCAACGTAGAAATGGACTCGACGTGTTGTCAATGCGCAATGGTTGCGAAGTGACAGACCTTCGTCCGAATGGCTACGAATGTACGTGTTCTCTACTGTGTTTACCTATCCGTTCGATCTTCGTGGCTCGGCGAGAGCTGGGTTTGCAGCATTTCATCTCAATGCCATATTCGAAGCGAAGACTTACGAATCGCCTTTGGCTTTGTGCAGAGTTTTGTTCAGCCAGAATGTAGAATATTTGAATAATTGTCTAAACCGAATGCTAGGCTGACATGACACTTGGTAGGTGACGAAGTTCTAGCGGCGAAGAATGCAGCGGCGCAAACGTTTCAAAGAAACGGCGATCGATCTTCGTCCCCTTGTGACGAAGAATCTAACGTCGAGCGTGCGTCAGAGACTGGCCACCATGGACCAAGCGGCAGATCGAACGGCCATCTCAAAAGCACATGAAGAAGACGGGGTAAGATTGTTGGACCATTCAGAACTGGTGCATCGCATCATCATCCTACTGGAAATTATTCTGTCTGGAATCGATGTAGCCTGGTATCAAATAATCTGCCGGAATCTACTACCGGTAAATAGAAGGCAAGTTCGGATCATAGTTCAGAAAACGTAACCCCGTACCCTGCCAATAAACCGCAGCCTTGCTGTTAAGAACCAGGCTGTGTCGTCTAGAACGAAGGACATAGGCTGGGATATACATGGCTCTCTCGACAGTGGTTTGTAGCAAACTGGGCTGGTCGCTGCAGCGAAGACATCTTAATAAGCCCGTGACTCGACCTTTGACGGGTTGGAGCACGGCAGTCCTTCTTCACGTCACGACTAGGGCTTGCACAAAGATTGTTCCTCGTCATCGACGTTCCTCAACCCGCTCTTCAAGTCGAAGACTATTCATGCCTAGTGCAATCAAGACTTACATCACAACGTAGATATTCACACATGACCATAGACTGGTTCTAAAACCGACGGCGTTCATCGCGATCATAGCCTGTCGCGGTAGTCAAGAAAAACAATCCCAAAACATGCCATCCCCGAACGGACACTACTATCACCGGACGAACCCTTTCCCCAGCAAACATCCTACAAGCAAGAATTTTTACACTTCCGCTAAACTTTTTCATACGTCCGTGTTTCGACCGGGTGAGCTGTAAGCTTTTGACAAGCATCCCTTGCAAGCTTTCAGCCATTGACTTTGTCCAGGACCCTATCCGCATCTCGATATTGCTGCGGATCTTATTTACAACCCCAGTCATCTCATGCTAGGTAACATGTAGTGGCACTGTTAGTTATTGATTAAGAGACGAACTAGCTTCTAGGCGACACGCTATTACTGAAAGCAGGCAGCTTATCAACGTGGATCATTCCTATACCCTTCCTTTTCCACGCCTAGCCTCCGGATAGCAGCGGACGAACTTCTGCCTCGTAAAAGCGGACCGTAAGCGAGATGAAGTGTCGGTGATCAGCACATGACATTGCGGCCGTGATCAACATTCACGCGTGCGTCGTGCAATACTACCCTAATATCAGCCGCTTGGGCACGGCATTGCTCGTTTCTAGAACATGATCTCGACCCCTTGGCAATGACCAACACTCGCGCTGGCTTGCTTCACGTTGCTTGCCTGTACCGAGATGCCATATAAGCTTCAATTAGTGAAGAATCTTGCTTGCGAATGTCCAGTGACTACTGGGAAAATCGTAGGAACCGACGCATTGTCATCACAGCAGAAGCCAAATGCAAGGTAAGGCGATGTGAATGCATATTTAGTACCAGGTAATCCATCTTTGCAGAATGCCACCATGGCCGGGAACTCCTTAGAACGAGGGCCGGCCAGGAGAATCCAAAATCAACCAGTAGCTATATCCAGGGAGCAATGAACATACGAGCAGATTCCGTAGTTCTCGCCACTTGTGCCTATCTTATTGTGATGATTGGATAATGTTCGATCCTGCAATGTGAACTTGTGGGAGCAAGAAATGGATCAGCGAGCTTCAGAGGGTACCTTAGGGCAAGTAATTGCAGTGCACATGCCGGACGGAAAGCACTTGCACTGTTGCCGAAGTGAAGCTGTTCGCGGTCGGCCTCTGCCTACCTAAACAGCACTCTCCCGATCGAATAAATCAGGATCCACCAAGGCTCGTTGGTGCCGAAAATTACATTTGGGCCAGATGGGCGAGCCCAGAGCAATCATCAAAGCTTAATGCAACGCTACAGCAGTCTCAGCAGTGCGTATATACTGTTGGTCTTGAGCAGACAACAGGCCATGTAAGTCAGGTAGCGAGATTGAGATATCCTGGATTCGTTGACCTAGACTTTTTCTGCGCTGTACTGCTCGCCAGCGTCGAACATCATGTGAGCTTGTCGCGCTTCGAAGGAAACGCAGGGTATGCCACAGAACTCGCACGGCGCATCTGAACAAGCCTGAGTCCGCAAGTACAGTGGACGCGGATGACCGAAGGTAGCAACATGGCGAGTGTCTGGTGGCAATGCGCACTGCGCACTGCGGCCTGTGGAGCGGCTTCCCGACTTGAACGATCGGCCAGTGAATGGCGTCGTTTGTTGACACGCGATGAGACCTTGGAAGGTGCCACAGGAATCGGCTTCGATGATAAGGCTACTTGCCTCTTCGTCTGCTTGCCCTCACGACCAATCTCGACTTCTACTTTGTGCTGTGTACGCAGGTGTCGATAGAGGGAGTGCGCGAATATTGCAAAGATCAGGAAGCTGCCTCACCTTGGCAAATCTCAAGTCCTATTTTTCTACTTTTCAGCTGATGGCAGAGAGCTTCGGCACTTGCAGATCTTCGTATTCTATGCAATAACCGAACATTGAGCATGACGGAGAAAAGGGTAGAAGCAGACGCAGAAGAAGGACCTGCTGCTCGTATCAGGATGCCAATTTGCGCACGTTGGAGGCAAAAAGGTCGAGCATCGCGCCAAGCCATGGCTCGAACGCGGGAGCAAAAAAGTTCACTCCTCCCTGTTTGGGTTTCTTTGTTTGTTGTTGATGATGGGTGAGGAACAGTTGCAATAACGGTTCCCAGGAGCTACATCTCTATCTCGCTTTCCGTCGGTCGAGCTCATCAAGCGAGAGATAATTGGTTTAGAGAGCTGGTTATTGGTGTTGTGATGTTGATTGGTTGTCGACAAAAGTTGGGAATTTCTTGGCCGCTAAGTAGACTCTTCGATTCGGCGTTGCCGGGATTGAACCGCAGGTCGCAAATTCCTTCAAGCTTGCTTGCTGAAGGTCAGCCGAGGCAAGCTGCGAGCGCGGGAGTGTCGCGCTGAGATTGGCGGCAAATGCGCTCCCAGTGTTTGAGCGACATTAATCTCGTGCCAATATTAACGAGCGCCAGGGCCTTGCGCATCAGATGTCTTTGTGCGTCGAAGGAAGGCCAGTTCGCAGAGGCCTGGCGAGCCTTGTGATGCTGCTTTGCTGCTCGTCTCCAGGCGGTGTGCGTTGGGCTGGCGGCTGCTGTCACCGCTATATTGCTCTGAGGATCTCCGGAGGATCATAGCGCAAGCAGAGCGGTTGTGCAGTGTCCGATCTTCCTTGAGCGAAAGAGCATAGCGGCCGCAGGACAGCGGCCACGCGAGGAGCCTCCTACATATGCTCTGCGCAATCCCATATTCTCTTTATGTTGTCAACGACGCCAAACGTATGCTCATGCAGGCCATATAGCCATGGACACCGCGCCGAAGCTCTTTCATTATCGCGACCAAGGATGTGGCCATCGTCTCACAGAACTGGTCCTGTCGATCTCTTTCGCCGGCGCGACGCTGTTCCTGGATTCACTGGAGGCCTTCTACCGCAGATCCGCACAGAGAACTCTGGCAGTCTCAGTCAAGTGAAAATGAGCTTCCCATTTTCACGTTGCTTAGGTCGGAGGCATCTTGCACTAGAGAGATGAGTAACCTTGGACTCACGCCTTGACTAGGAAAGAGGAGAGCAACAATGACAATATGCGGATGCAGGGCAGATGCAGTCCAGCTTTCTACAATAATGAGCAACCATATGCATGTGAAAGCAGCCGTGGCTGAGGTGAAGTGAAGTGCAAGACAAAACTTGGCAGTGCCGACAAGCCAAGCCCTTTCTCCACCCCGACCGACGGAGCCAGTGGTGGCGCTCATTTGGTGGTCAATTCCTTGCCGTTCAATTGGGTGAGCCGCCAGCTAGCCAACTACAGGGGAGGGTAGGAGGTTTGGGTGCCTCGGCGGTCTCCCCAAGGTACACCCAATCCTTCTTATTAGTCGGAAATGGTTATGGTGGCGTCTGGGCGCATCAGCAGATGGAGGCGACAGTAGTGGCCCAAACCAAACCAGCGTCCCTTCTTTTCTGTGCAGTCCTCCCTATGCGGTAGCACGCGACAACAGACAACCATGCCACAAGCCCTCAGGAGTCTATGCTTCTTCGTCGGTGCCATAGTCGTGCTCGCCGTGCTCTACTCCTCAACAACGCTCCCGGCAACGGCCTCAACATGGAACGTCCCGGAGGCAGCCAAGGGCTTCACAGACAAATTCAAAGATGAGACACCTCCTCCTGCGGCAGACCCCATCTACGAAGACACGCCGACTTCGAATCCGCCGACCGCAGTGTTGGGACTTCCCGACAAGACAGAAGAAGGAGGAGATAAAACAGACGGAGATGCCAACCCACCGGCTGCCACAGCGACATCCATGGCAGATGCATTGGAGGAGCTCAGCAAATCTCCAGAGGAGTTCAACGACGCGAAATATGCCTTTCAGCTCGATCTCAACCTGACCATGTGCGACGCGAACGTGTACGACACCCACCACCTCCGCAAATACATGCCAAAGAACTTCAAAGGTCCAGGAAACCCAACCTTCGCGACATATCTCTCGACGCGCAATGGCACGATCCACGACCCCTATTTCATGGCAGCAATGCAATTGACATATCGCGTCCTATGGGATCCAAGATCCAAGTCGGAAAAGTACCCTCTTACCGTATTCGTGGCACCATTCATCCCGCAGGAGCACCGTGATTTGCTCCAAGCATCTGGCGCAATCGTGCGCGAACTCGAGCTCATTGAATGGCATCCGAACAAGGCCACATTTGGGCGCTGGAAAGACCTGTTTTCCAAGCTCAACATGTGGCGCCAAACAGACTACAGCAAGATTGCCTTTCTGGACCTCGACGCATTCCCATTCCAGAACATCGACGAGATCTTCGACCTCCACGAAACACAGAAATGCATTCGCGAGCTCCTCCCCGAGGAGGACAGACTCAAAGAGGAGGAGATTTGCGATTATACCTTCTTCGGAACACAAGTCGGAGGATACAAGGAGATCAATGTAGGAGTCATGGTATTCCAACCCAATCTCGCCATGCACGCGCGCTTGACTCGCGAATTCTTGCACGCAGACAAATACGACAATTTAATGGCTGAGCAGGCATTCTTGAGCTACGCCTACAGGGAAGATGGTCCTTTTCCCGTGGCATTTGTGGATCGAGTATGGAATGGCTTCTTCCCGCAGGCAGACGAAGAAGACAAGCTGAAGATTGTGCATGAAAAGCTTTGGTCAGTGAACGAACATTTGCCTTGGGGACAGTCGCATTTCGTGAATACGCATCAGGCCATGTGTAAGCTTTATGAGAGCAAGGAGTTCAGGAAAATGCGCGAGGATCTAGGCAAGAAGCCATTTTAGATGAGTTGCTGTCGTTTGCTGCTGTATATACGTGTAACGATATAGATGAGGCGCGAGTCTGGATTATGCTTGTGGGTCAAAATACTAAGTAATTGACAGCAATGGCGAACAGTGTCTTTCTCATCGCAATTTCGTGTCTTGTTCTTCAAGAGGTATCTATATCCAAAGGTCGTTAATCGTTCGTAGGCCTGGTCAGTCCAGCTGTTCTTCGCTCGTATAGCATAAAGGTAGCCTCTCCACCAGTCCCATGGATCATCTTTCACCCCACCATGGCTCCTCTTAAACTATCTCTTCATCGATTCTCGGCAAGCGACAACCAACTCCCTCTAGTACTTGCTCCTCGGCGGTGGAGGATAAAATCCAACCCTCTGATCATGCGAGTAATACTCGTCGCTATAATATGGCTGTCTCGTGCCCGCATATACCGCCTCACCACTCATCCGCCCAACACTCCTACTCCTCGTCCTTACAGCCGGATGTCCGCTTACGCTTCGACTTTGCGATCTCGTGCGCGTAGCTGGAGGCACGTAGATGGTCTCGCGAGTCATGCTCTGCCGGCGAGCTTTCTTGATCCGATGGCGTTGTCGTGCTGATGGATACTCGAGGATCACGTACCAGGCGTGAAGAATGCCGGGGATCCAGCCCAGGAAGCACAAGAGGATGTTTAGGAGGAGTTGCGCACCGCAGCCTGTGCGGATGAATACTGCGACTGGTGGAAGGAAGATGGCGCCGATGGCGAGAATGATGCCGCCCTGACGATATAGCGTTAGTGGAAGGAAGCTCGAATTCGAATACTTTGGGTTGGCACGGGAGCACACGCTTACGAGAGTCATTGTGTCCAAGAAATGCGCGCTGGCACGCTCAGGTACTGGTAGGTCTGCTCAGGTGCGTACTCCGTGTGTTCAACCTGTTCTTCGCACGTGTCACGGTCTGGGTCACTGCTGATGATGATGATGTTGCTCGCGATTCATGATGCATACGAAGGGAAAGTGGGCGAAACTGAGGATGAGCACATGATGGGCTCTTTATCAATTCTTCGCCCTTCTTACTTCATCGCCTCCTTCAATACATGGATCGCATGCTCAGTGCGCCAAGTGCTGTATCACAACGCAGTGACGTCGCCCTGAGCCATCGCGAAATGAGATCCTTGTCGATCAAGCTCCAACCACGACTTCCTCCAACTTCTTCGCCCTGATCCGGTCAATTTGTACCTCTACCGAAGCCTGCAGCTTTTCGGTCTTGTTTGGGCAAGACGGTTGTTACATTGCTGCGGCTTGGAGTCTTACCGGTCGTGCGAGAAGTTTGGTTCATCATTGCTCAAAGAGGCCGCATACAGTATGCTCCGCAAGGCTGAGCAGCTACCGGAGTACCTCTTAGCGTGAGGAGCACGAAATGCATGTCACCTTCTGCACGCCATAAGCTTCTGCACGCCATCTCTGTCTTGCGCACCACGCCGCCTGCACGAGTGGCACCACTTCTGTTTGCGATGGCGCAAGCTATCCCGGAGAGTTGGAAACTCAGTCAGCCAAGAAACAATACAGGAGACATTCTCGTCAGTGCCAGCTTCACCGCAATCGGAATGTGGACTCGAGCAGTGCAGCTTGTGATCCAGATGTCCAAGGCTGGGGCGGCTTGGTGTGTTCAAGACTCCCTCGTGAGCTTAGATTTGAGCTTGTCTGCTGGCTTCACACTGCGCGGTCACTTGTGAATCTAGAATTTCTGGTTTGAATCCTGCAGATCATCAGCTTTTGATTCTGTTCATGTCTGAGGTGACTTGGTACAGAGGTGATACCAGAGAGAGAAGCAAATTCGATCACTTATACATGTATCCATTAGCGATGCTCCGGCCATGAGGCTGCGAACATCTGGATATTTCGTGAGGGTGCAGGCAGGATAGGTTGTGGGAGGCGTGAGCGAAGGCGATGTGGCGCAAGTCAGTGCAGAGTCCAAAAGCTCAATTTGCCTACGATTTCTTCTCCTCTCCGCCTCCATAATAGATTGGAACAGGGAAGCCATGGCGCTTGTAGAGGCCCTGGACTTTGTCGACAAACTTCGACCAGTTGCCCTCGTCTGCTTTGAAGTAGTCTCGGGACATCTGCATGAAGTAGCGCTCGCATGCATGGTTGACCGCGTGTTGTGTGTATAGAGGAGCCTGGTAGGGCTTGGTCGGCGTTAGTCCGTAGAACGCGAGGCGCTGATTCTCCTTCGGTCGACCATCTCGCTCAAGACCAGCGCGCTCTTGGAGCTTGTTGAGGTGAGATCGAAGGGCGGCAAATGACTTCTTTTCTTCTTCCAGGGCCTTCTCCAGATCCTGATTCTTGTGCCATTCATCTTTTAGATCTTTGAATTGATCCTCAGCATGCTTGTTGCTGTAGTCGAGCTGCTTTTGCACACGACCCACATCATTCTCGGCGTCTTTCTTGGCTTGCGAGACCAGCTTCTTGGCTTTTTCGTTGATAGCTTTGACTTTCTCGTCAGCTTCCATCATCTTGTTTGTGGCTTCTTCTCGAGCATAGGCTGCTTCTCTTTGAGCGTTCTTCTTGACATCATCTTCATCGTCCTCGAGCTTCCTAATTCGATCTTCAAGCCCCAATAACTGGTATTCCTTGTGCTTGAATTCAGCCGTCTTGGTGTCAAGCTCCAGCTTATGCTCCTGCTTCAGGGCAGCAATCTCATCAGCATGCCGCTTCTTCGTACGAACGAGCTGTTCTTTGACGAACTTAAGCGTTGCCTCGAGTTGAGAGACTGTCCCATTATCACCCTCTGCTTGAGCTTCGGTTTCATCCTGGTCTTTATTCCCGCCAAAGTATGTCTGCTGCGCGCTGTCCACGGCTGCCTTTTGAATTGTCGAGTTGCTGATTTTAAGGTTGTTGTCAGGTGAGCTCGAAGCAGACGTGGACTGTTCACGTGGCTCAGTCGCTTCGCTGCTCACAGAAGCACTAACTGATGAGGGCAGCGACGTGGAGCTATTGGTACGCCGAGCTTTTGGTGAATTTGACTCGGTGGTCTGTCGCTTGTTCGGTGCAGTGTTTGAAGACTCGTCGTCGTCAGACTCGCGACCTCTCTTCGGTCCCTTCGGCGAATTGGCTCCACTGCCCGGTGGTGTCGGTGGCATGTTGCTAAGCTTCTCGATGAGGTGATCTATAATGTCGTCGCGGTTGTTGCGGTAAAATATCCTCATGTGCTCTGGTGTGCGGTTACGGATAGAAGCAGAGACAGCTGCCCAATCTTCTTCGCCGAAAAGCGCGGCCAAATCCAGATAGTTCTTGGTGATTTCGCGAGGCTGGCTCGCATAGACTCGAGCTGTGCAAGTCTTTAGGAAAGTCTCAGCTTCACCGGCGCTGAAGTCGAGCATGTTGTCCTTGGCCGGCCGAGTGGCAGATGGCTTGGAAGAAGACATTGCTGCGCAGCGCCTGTAGTTACTGTTGGAGGTGTAACGCGATTGAGGGAAGTTCTAAGATTGTTCGAGTCGCTTGGGGAACGGCCAAGGATTCTGAGGCGGTCAGTATGCTTGTATGTATGCTTGGTATCTTGTGACGTGACGTTCGGTAGTGAATTGGTGTCGGAGGCGAAACACTTGGTGCAGGCCAGATCGATCTGTCTTGGAGAGAGAGGGAAAGAAGGTGAGTGGGACTCTTTTTGAAGTGCGGTGCTTGACACTAGCGCGAGTTTTCGTGACAGTTCGTGCGAGTATTCGAGTATTCACTTGCTCACACTTCCAGCAAGGGATCGCGCGATAGCCTTCAGCTGACTGCGCTCTACAGCTAAATGACTGCAGTCCTCTGAATGTATACAGTCTTCTTAATTAATATTGATCCTACAACTGCCGGCCTGGAAATCGATGGGAGAGCTTCCAAAGTGGGTTTGCGCGTGAAAGATGCATCGACTCAGGCTGAGGAGTACCTTTTCAACATCCAGCATCGGGTTATGGCGGGGAAGCAGTAGAATAGAAGAAATTGAATAGGATGTGCGATCGTTGAAGCGGATTTGGTCCTAGTAGATAGTGCAAAATAAAGCAGGTGTCTTAGAACTTGCGCCCGGATCCTGTAAATCATGCAACACCTCAATGCAGAGCACAAAATGCAAGCTACGTTCGCGGGCCAGAATCAGCGATCGTTGCAAAAGATTTCCTTGTCGAAGAAATCACAATGGGCCTGGGTCAGACGGTCTCGCATTTCTGAGGCCTACGAAACGTCTTAGATGTTCAGCCAGCTCAGAGACATTAGTGGAAAGACCTTTGAAACAGCATCAGCTTCATGCGGCCTGCATAGCGGACTCACCAGGCGCAACCTCACGCACAAAAGCCAACCCAATTTCCTCATATTGCCCAGCAGCATCTCAGCCTGGATTCACAGCGGGGCAAAGGTTCAGTGAATTTCCTCTGCTCCACAAATCCCGTGGCAGATGCGAAGTTCGCGCAGCTTACCAAGAAGATGCGCCTTGCTCCTCGAATACTGTCCACACACCCGGTACGTGTTCTTCCCACCGTATTCCACGCAAGCCCATACTTCGCGGCCACACTTGCAAGGGGTAACTCTATGTCCACTCTCCGTACCTCTCGTGGCGGAGCGGTATCAGCAGACAATCTGCGGTCCTTTCAAGGGCGGGTCTGTTTGCCTTCTCCGAAGCCTTAAGACGGACTGCCATATCCACAGGATAGCAGAAGTGGCATAGAGATGCTCGTGGGATGGGCACAATGTATGTGCGGAGTGTCCCAGCCCTTATCTGCCCCTATTTTCTACCCCCGCTGTCGCTCGCGCCATGCTTTGAGCAGCATCTGCCCGCAGACTGAGCATCTGGATCCAATTGGCGGCTGGCTCCCCGAAGTGGCGCATTTGCAGCGATCGCTTGCGATGGCTATGCTCGACAGAATTTGGCAGCCAAATTAGCCTCATAGTCTCGCAGATAGCCGTCCAGGGTATCGGGAGCGAGGTCTGCGGCAGGCGCTGCTATTATGCTAACATCTTTATAGGCCCATCAGACATTCGGCTGAAACGCCGAGTGCTGGAGGGTCAACACAGTGCCATGCCTTAAACACAGCTGAGGTTATCTGTGCTCTTGTATCAATCCTTGCCCAAGCTCTTCGCCAGTCTCTACTCCTCTAATTTCTCCATTCTGCAGCAAATTCTGTGCATCAAGGCGTCGACGGATGGGCTTTCGTGAGCGACGGGCGGATGTCAGTTCTGAATAATTTGAGCAACTTGTTATTTTCTTGGCTACGCGTCGTCTAGCGTGAGAGTCATTGGCGTATGTACAGAATGGAAATTGAAATATGCATGGCTGTGAATGGATGACGCGAGGTCGACGCGTGAAGTCCGAAAGTGCCAAGCATGGCAGGACCCAGTCTTTGCAGCTTCCTCCCTCCTTCCCTGTACGCACGCCTACACTATCTTGCTAGAGCTACGCATCGTCTGCATACTATCTCAAGAACGTCTCAGACATCTAATACCGGTCCTTCATCCCCATAAATCGGATCTCCAACAAACCATCCCAGAGTCTTGATCTTCTCAACCCGCCCTTCCTCCCCCTTCTTCCCATAGCACATATCGCAATTACAGCCTGTGGGATAGCTTCCAACCATCTCAAACCCACCACTTAGATCCTCCTCCACCAGCCTATGCGCTACACCAGCCGGTACGACGATCACATCTCCCTTCTCAACTTCAGTCTCGACCTTCGACGCATTATCCTCGTGGCCGAAGCATAATCTAGCCTTGCCATGGGAGATGGAGAGGACTTCGTGCGAAGTGGAGTGGAAGTGAGAGGTCGAGTACATTGTGTATCGCCATTGCGGTGTCGCAACTCCGATGGACGAGAGATGGGACTCGATTTCCGAGGCTGTTGTACTCCTCGGGAAGGCAGATTTGTAGAGCAGGAGCGGCTTATTTTGAATTGATGTGTTGGGTGTTAGACCATGCGATGGGATTTGGTGTTTCAAGACACGAAGGTCTTTGAGCGGAGTCAGCTTCAGCGCCATTCTGGATTTCGCATTGTTGATGCAACAGGGTAAGCACGAAGTGTCTACTTTCTCCTCGCAATCATGCTTGTCATGTACACTTCTTACGTCATAGGTGCTTCACGTGCGGTATGTGTGAAATGGTGGTGTGATTGAAAGCGATCATCTTGTGAAGATCTACATTGCAACAACCATGACAGTGAATGAACGCTCCAACGTGACAATCATCTCGCGAGATGCAAATGCAAATGCTAGGGTATCGTCTCCTCATGTTGTCCGTTCGAACTCGCGAGCAATATCGTAGACCCTGCCATCAGTGCCAGGAGCACCGAGCAGCGTCACTCCGAATGGCAGTCTCTCACCGTTGGTCGCTTGGTGTATAGATGCAGGCAGGGCAATGCCGCAGAGATCGAGAACGTTCGCGAAGTGTGTGAAGTATCCGAGCTTGGCATTCAAGGCCAATGGATCTGCCTCCATCTCTGCGACCGTAGGATGGCAGGTCGTGGTTGGCACCAGTAGAACATCTATGTTCTTGAAGATTTTGGCAGCTTCACGGGTGTATTTGGCCTGTAGATGTTGGTCTCGAAACACTTGCCAAGGCTTAATGTCCTTGTTCAGCGCAGCTTCAAAGACCTTCTTCGTCGCCGGCTGAAACTTGTTGAGATTGCTGGCAATGAAGTCTGGTCCAATGCAAGCAATACGCTCTTGGACCAGGGAAGCATCGTACAGGAGATCACTACCGCCTTCGAAAGGCTCCCACTCGACCTCATGTGGGGTTCCACCAGCTCTCTTCAGTCTCTCAACGGCAGCGATGAATTGTGACTGGTAGGTCTGGGAGCAGTTGCTCAACGCAGATGCTGGCGGAACCCCAAATCTGAACCCGGCGGCTTTGACGCCTCGAAACTCAGACTGCCACAGTGCAAGCGACAGTGGCGATTTGGCATACGGATCATTTTCATCTATGCCTGTGTCTGCAGCAAGCCAAACTTTCCTAGCATCTTCCACTGTTGATGCCATTATGGTGATAGTGTCCAGGCTCTGACAAGCTGGTGCGAGACCCCTTGCGCTGAGCGTTCCTTTCGTCGGCTTGTGGCCGACAAGTCCATTGAAAGCTGCCGGCACTCTTCCGGAGCCCGCTGTGTCTGTGCCTAGAGCAAAGGATACCAGTCCAGCCGCAACAGCTACAGCGGAGCCAGAAGATGAGCCACCCGAGATACGATTATTTCCATAGACACTTCGAGGTGTGCCGTAGGGCGAGCGGCATCCTGACAAGCCTGTCGCAAGTTGATCCATATTAGTTTTGCCGACGAATATTGCTCCAGCCTCCAGCAGGTCTTCCACGACTCTTGCGCTTTGTTGTGGCACAAATGCATATGCTTCACAGCCGTTAGTAGTCTTGACACCGGCGACGTCGATGTTGTCTTTGACTCCAAATGGAACACCATATAGCTCAGGGAGTGGTTTGCTGGCAAATTGATCTTCCACTGCCTTCGCGGCTCGAAGTAACTTCTCGGGTTCCTCGACATGAGTCCAGACGGCAGGATCTTTCTTTTTGAAGTCTTCGATGCGGGCGCTGATTTGCTTGATGACCTCCGTGGGGCGCAACTGCCCAGAGCTATACTGCTTGCGAAGTGCAGACAAGGAGATGTCTCCTGTGAAGCCGGGCGGCGTTGTTGGTGGTGTTTGTGTCTGAGGTGGTGCGTAACTCAGCAATTCGTTCGATGTGCCAACGAAGCCAAAAAGGCCGTCGTAGGAGCAAAGCATGTCTAATGTGCTCGTGTAGAAAGCAGAGTCGAAGCCATCAGTGCAATCTGACAGCACGCAGACCTCAAAGCCTCTGTCGGCGCATTCTCGTGCAGTAGTGCTGACGCAGCATTCTGTCGTCACTCCAGCGAACAGAAGGTGGGTAATACCTCGAGCGAGAAGTGTGCGATGTAAAGATGTGTCCCACATCGAGCCTTTGCCAGGTTTGTCGATGACAGATTCACCAGGAATGGGCGTGAGCTCGTCAATAATGCCGTGCCCGTATTCACCTCGCACAAGTAATCTGCCCATGGGCCCTTGGTCTCCAATCGTCATGGTGTGATGCCCTGATGGTGCAGATACTTGTCTCAGTCGCTTTGACGCAGGCAGATCAGATAGGTCCGGTTTGTGGCCTTCTCGCGTGTGAATGACCTGGAGACCCAGTGCTCGCGCCGCTTCAAGCGCTTTTCGCGTTCGTGGGACAATGTTCCTGACCTTCTTGAATATTTCGTCGTTGCCACACTGGATCATGCCGAAGCCGCTGAGGTCCACGAAATCCCGCTGCATGTCGATGATTATGAGTGCTGTTGACTCTTGCGGGAACTTGTAGGGATACGGCCTTGCCGAAGGGAGTTCCATGGTCGCCGCCATATCTGGGAGGTGAGGTGCTGGAGGAGAAGGTGTGAGAGAGCACGATCACACGCGACCGAGGAAGAGTCAGAGTCAGAACAGTGCGAGGTAACCAACAGTCAATCTGTACAGACCAAAGCCGCCGGCTCTATGTATACACATAGCTCGCCCGGCATGCGTGCAGTAAGGTTCGGCACCTCATGGTGGTGCAGAGAAGTATATCCTTCCCGCGGCCAGTCATTGGCTTGGACACGGCGTTCGAGACAGCGTCGACACGTGCGATATGCCGCGGCCTGTAGGTCGATGCATCTGTACGGCCAACATACATAGATAAGGGTGAGGCGTGGCTCGCAGGGAGCGAGGGCATGTTCAAATGCCAAGCTTTGTCCGGGCCGACGGCCCATCGGCTGGCGCTTGCCGTGCGTTTGCCAATTCACAAGCATACTACTCTGTCATCATCCTCCACCACCATCACCACCACCACCACCACCACCTTATCTGCGCCCTGAGAGGGTTCCTGGCCAAAATCTGAGATCGCAAAATCCAGCATCTACGCTGTTACCGAATTCTCTATGAACGTCTTGGTCTTGGCCTCCTCCTTGGTCAGTCGAGACTGCGCCAAACGCTTCCACACATAATCACCCGCCACGATGGGATCGTAGCACGCCTTGCCGCCCTCCGGAATACACGTTGGCAAAGGCTGCAGAACCGTGTCGTATGATGGTCCAAAGAACTAGGAAGTGTTGTGGACCACTATCGCGTTCCAAGACTGGCAGCTTGCAATGTATTTGTTTTGATTACTAATCGTATATATATCTCGACTACCGAGGCTAGCAAACTTCGATAGCTAAAGGCTCTTAGACTCTACAACTATAGGCCTAGGTATGTTTATATTATATATAATATAGCTATCTATAAGGTTCTAGGAATACGATACTAGTTTTAGAGAATATTATAATTTTAGTTTCTATATATATCTATGCCCTAGTTTATAAAGGAAAATTTACTAATCTTACAATTCTTAATTATAGTTATGCTTTTTTAAGTTATATAGTAGTTTGTTCTAGCTATAGTATAGTAGTTTGTTCTAGCTATAGTATATAGTTTAGTAGGGCTTAGTATAAGTACTAGTATCTAAGTAGTAGTTTGCTGCTAGTCTAGACGCGCGCTATCAATTCCCTTAGACTCTTAGTTAGTAGGCTTTAAATATTTAGTTAGAAAACGAAATATATCTATAGTAAATACTAAGTACTACTTAGCTAATTACTATAGTAAGAGAGAATAGGACTTTAGCTATATACTAAAATAGCGATTTAGACTTTAGTAGTAAATTTACTAGTAGTAAAAGTTATTAACCTTAGCTTAAAATATATAAATAAAATTTAATTATTTAGGCTATATATAGAATATATACTAAAAGAATAGATATACTACCTTAGTAGAGGCCTAGATATATTATATATAACCCCCTAATTACTAGTAGTTATCCTCTAGCTAGTAAGTCTAGTAGTATAATTCTTAGAGATTAATAGCTTTAAGCTATACTATCTAGCTATTATAGATTTAGCTATTATACTAGTTATTTCTACTACTAGTCCCCCGATAAATTATATAGTTTAAAGTATAGAATACTAAATTACTAACTTCTAAATAGAGATAGGTCGATTAGTAGAGGTCGGTTAACGGTTCGACTAATAGTTCGATTTATAGTTTGATTAATAGTTTGATTAATAGTTTGATTAATAGTTTGATTAATAGTTTGATTAATAGTTTGATTAATAGTTTAATTAGTAGTTTAAATAGAAGTTAGATTACTAATAATAGTTTAATTCAAAACGTAATTAGTAGTTTAATTAATAGTCTAATTAATAGTTTAACTAACTGTTTGATTAGTAGTTTAATTAGTAGTTTGATTAATAGTTTAATTAGTAGTTCGACTAGTAGTTTTAGTTTAACAGAAACTTTAATTAGTATTATAGTAGTAGCTAGTCCCCCGATAAATAGTTTAATTAGTAGTTTAATTAGTAGTTTTAGTTTAATAGAAATTTTAATTAGTATTTTACTAGTAGCTAGTCCCCCGATAAATTATATAATTTAAAGTATATAGTACTAAATTACTAACTTCTAAATAGAGATAGGTCGATTAGTAGGTCGATTAGTAGGTCGATTAGTAGATCGATTAGCAGTTTAATTAGTAGTTTAGCTAGCAGTATAACTAGTAGCTGATCTGCTAGTAACGGTTGATTTAAAATCTCGTTAGTAGTCTAATTAGTAGTTCAACTAGCAGCTTAACTAGCAGTCTAACTAGTCGTTTCATTAGCAATTTTACAAATAGCTCGATTAACTATTTAAGTAATAGTTTAATTAGCAGTTCGATCACTAGTTTTAGTGTAACAAAAATTTCAGTTAGTATTTTCTTAGTAGTTTCTTTAATAGTTTTATTAGTAGTTTTATTAATAGTCCTATTAGCGGTTTTGTTGGTGGTATTGTTTCTAGTTTAGTTAGTAGTCTTAGTACTTTAATTAGTAGTCCTATTTATAGGTTAGCTTATAGTCTTAGTAGTTTTAATTAGTAGTCTTATTAACAGTTTTATTAGCAGTTTTATTAATAGTCCTATTAGTAGTTTTACTAACTATTTTACTATTAGTGCCATTTGAGTTATCAGTTTTATTATCAGTTTTATTATTAGTTCTTTTATTAGGTTCACTAATAGTTTAGCTAATAGTTTATCTAATAGTCTATCTAACAGTTTACCTAATAGTTTAATTAATAGGTTTGTTAATAGTTTTCTTAATACCTAGTCCTACTAGTAGCTGCCTACTAGTAGCCCTACTAATAGTCTAATAGTCTAAAGTTACTAGTAGCTCTACAGCCTCTACTAATAGCTTTATTAAAATTAATAGTACTATTAGTAGTCTTACTAATATTTTCGCTACGGGGACCTTTATACTAGTCGATAGGCTTCGTATTTAGTAGAATATAGCTATATCTAGGTCTTTAGTCTACGTTAAGCTCCTACTAAATTTTTATTAGCGTTTTACGCTTATATCCGGGTTTCGTTAAGCGCTTTCGATTTACGTTCTACGCTAAAATCTAGGATAAGTTAAACTTCCCTTTAATCTTTAATTAAATATTACTTCTACTAAAATTCTTAGCTAATTATTTCGGTCTTAGCGGACAACTTAGATTTTCGCGGGCGGTAGGCGCGGTATCTAGATTAGTAGCTACGGTACTAATTATTTCGGTATTAGCGGACAACTTAGATTTTAATACTAGCTAATACTAGCTAATAGTCCGAGCTAATACTAGCTAACACTAGCTAATACTAGCTAATACTAGCTAGCTAACACTAGCTAATACCTACGCTAAAATCCGGGGCAAGTCAAATTTCCCTTTAATATTTGTTTCGATTGACGTTCTACGCTGAAATCCGGGGTAAGTCAAATTTCCCTTCAATCTTTGATTGAATATTACTTCTGCGAAATTTCTCAGCCAATCATTTCGGTCTTGGCGGACAACTTGGATTTTCGCGGGCGGTAGCCGCGGTGTCTAGATTGGCAGCTGCGCTGCCAATAATGGGATGGAGTATCGCTCGCATCCTGTGCTGTTATGCACTCTGTGAACAGTCGAGATGAAAACATCGTTGCTCCAGCGCCCAAGCATGTCCCCGACGTTTACCACAAACGTCCCTTCCACGGGCGGAGCCTGAATCCACTGGCCATCGACATTCAGGATCTGTAACGCAGGCTGTTCGCCCTGACATAAAATGGTGATGGCTTCTATATCAGTGTGCGCTCCGATTCCAAGAGCATCAGGATCGCGCGGATCTTGTGCTGGGTACTTCAGCAGTCGCAGCATGGCTCCAGGATGCTTCACTGCAGAGTCAAAGTAATCGTCCGGAAGCTCCAGAACCTTGGCAAGAAGCTTTACAAGTCGACGTGCCAGCATGAGAACGCTCCCGTAGTATGCAGCCACGTTGTCCTTAAAGCCACTCATTCGTGGCCAAGCATTTTCGCCCTGCATGGGACTATCTTGCTCGAATTCTGCTGTTCATCAGCGATCCACATTCCAGAGAGAAATTCGTTTCTTTCACCGGATTCGACCAACCTTCGCCGGCGTCGCCATCCCATAGCGGGTCTAGGGCAGCTTCATACCCACAATTGAAGGCCTCATTGAGATCGGCTCGCTTCGACTCATCTGTCCGTACTTCTGCAATGGGCTCGTAGCCATGCAGGACCTTATTCTTCTTGTAATGGATTTCGGATTTGACTTCAAGAGATTGGTCGAAGAAAGCCTTGGCCGTGGCGAAGATGTTACGAATCACATCTTGAGGTACTTGGTGATCCTGGAGCGAAAAGCAACATTAACGAGTCAATTCACGACTCTTATCATCATGGACTGACCTTGATGTAGAAGAATCCTACGCGGGTACACGCATCGCGCAATTGGTCGATGATCTCTTGTTCCGGTGCAGCCAGAGATATCGTCGGGATTTCATTGAAATCTGCTTTTCGAGCTGTATTGCCAGCCAGATGGCGTTTACGGCCGGAGAAAGAGGTGAACTGTGTGAATCACACGATCAGTATTCTTTTTGGTCTTCAAAGTGAATAACTAGTTCGCACGCACCTCGGTCATCGCAGCTACTTTTGGTGCAAAGGAGCCAAGATTGATGCGTGAGTTTGACTGCACGCAGCCGCCACGCGAGAGCAACGTACAGCAATAGGAAGAGATCTATCCCAAAGGTTTAAACACCGAGATGTCTTCTCGAGCGGCTGCTATACATCAACGAATGGGTAAGGAATGCTCCATAACCATTGGTCACTTCCAGACTGATAGCCGAAGCACGGCTGCCGTCGGCCGCTCAAACCCAGGGCCTAGGGGACCTGCATGGGTGCACATGGGGCTCCATAAACCTTGATAAGGCTAATTCGACACAGATCCCGACACAGCGACTGATGGGGCATCTCGTGGCTTTTCACAGACACAAGTGCTGCAAGAGATAACCACATGCTATCGTACAGCATGGCAAGTGCATAAGTAGAACCTCATGTCATCGTCTCAACACCCTGCTTCTTGTCATCGTTGCAAGATTCTTCCGTTCACTTCCTCACTATGACTATCAACGAACGGATTGATGCGGTCAAAGCCGACCTCAAGGCAAAGAGAAGACTATCAGGATGGGTACTGCCAAAGGAAGAGACCTCTTTCGCGGACAAGGATAGCTACTCCAACATCGACTCTGATGTCACTCCGCTAGAGCGAAGAACATGGACGACATGGACCATCTTGGGCTTCTGGGTGTCGGACGCTATGAATGCACAAGGCTGGATGGCGCCAGCTTCAATCATCGCCGTGGGCTTGACCTACCGAGAGGCAATCTACTCCCTCCTGCTTGGTCTAGGCATAGTCTCCATTCCTCTCGTGCTCAACGGTGCAATTGGAGCACACCTGCACGTTCCATTTCCCGTGGCCGCACGCTCGTCCTTCGGCTTCCTCTTCGCCAGGTTCGCCGTCGTCACTCGAATGGTCACAGCACTCTTTTGGCATGCAATTCAGACGTATACCGGCTCCACCGCGCTCACACAAATGCTTCGAGCCATCTGGCCAAGCTATCTCAACATTCCCAACCATCTACCCGCATCGGCCGGCATCACTTCACAGCAGCTACTCTCCCACTTCCTCTTTTGGAGCATCCAGTTCCCTGTCCTCCTCATTGCACCACACAAGCTGCGCTGGTTCTTCATCTTCAAGGTGGTAGTCACCGTCACTGCGAGCACGGCCACAGTGATCGCCGTAACGAGCAAGGCTGGTGGTACGGGGCAAATTTGGGCTCAAGATTATCGAGTTCATGGAGCCGAAAGGTCTTGGCTCACGCTTGCTGCCATGATGTCCTGCGCCGGTGGCTGGGCGACGATGGCTACCAACGTTCCCGACTTCACTCGCTACCTGAAGTCTCCCAGAGGCGTCTACTGGCAAGGATTCTTCCTTCCATTCATTGGTCTCATGCTTGGGCTTTTCGGCATCATCTCCTGCTCGGCAGCCAAGGTGGTATACGGGGAGTACGTATGGGATCCGTTAGTGCTCGCGGGCAAATGGGATGGACCAGCCGGACGATGCGGAGCCTTTTTCGTCGGACTTTGCTGGGTGGTGGCTCAGATCGGAACAAATCTGTCCGCAAATGTCATCTCATACGCCAACGACATGTGCAGTCTTTTTCCCAAGTACATCAACATCCGCCGAGGAGTCGTCTTCGCCGCCATCATCGGCGGATGGGTTATGGTGCCGTGGAAAATCATTTCATCTGCTCAAAGTCTCTTGACTTTCATGACTGGTCTAGCAATTTTCCTCGCACCGATTTCTGCTATCTTGGCCAGTGATTACTGGCTCGTCAAGAAGCGACATGTTGATGTACCCAGCCTTTACCGTCGATACGCTCGATACAAGTACTGGCACGGCTTCAACTGGCGAGCGGCCGTGGCATTCCTTTGCTCGGTGACACCCAACATCCCCGGCCTTGCTCGAGCGGTCAATCCAAGCATTCACCTGGACTCCGGCATCATTCATCTCTACGACATGAATTATTTGTGGGGATTGACGAGTGCCGCAATCATTTACTTCACACTGTCGTACTTCTTTCCCGCTACTGAGACTTTGATATCGGAGAGCATTCATGATGACACGGTACTCCATGGGGTGGAGTACACTCCACCCGAAGGCTCTGATCACATATCTGAGAAAGAAAAGGTTGATATTTCAGTGCAGCCCAAAGCGGTAGAATTTGGGGAGGTGTAATAAGGGCTACGGAATGGAATAATGACACAGGTTTGCGTATGATGTAGGACAGAGAAAAGCATAGTCGATCAAAACTACTGACTGAATTCTGCCGTTCACTTTTTCAGCATCTTCCGTGGCCATGAACCATACTGTATATTCGCACCGGATTTTCTATCTCCGGTCCAGCGCCTTCCTATTTGAACGCAAGTCACAGGCAGGCACAACACGTACCTTCCACCATCGGACTTTTAACTGATATTGTACCTGCCTACTCTTTCTTCAAGCCGCTAAACCACAAAGAGAAGGAAAGTGACGGCAATCTATAACGTGGAAGGTGCATGTCACTTCTGAATCTGTGAGAGAGAGGGCGAATCTGCTGCATTCGCTCAGGGAGAGTAAACGATACGGATATTCCGGGCATGATCCTGGCAATACGGCTGCAGAAGCCCGGGATGTACTGACTTCGCCTTTTCAAGATACGACAAGCGCTACCGGTATTAATGTTCGTGTTTGCACAATTACCACTTGTTGATGTTGCCTATGTACACAGCCGTTATGGTCACTACCTCAATACCGATCCATCTGTACTGCGCCGCCGTATGTCCAAGAAGCGTAGATGAGCGTCAAATGGCCTGATAAATCATTGAGCCAGCAAATTCACCCCAAAAAACTCCATGCTTGTCGCTGCTTGCGCGAATGTGTACTGTCGCTTCATGCTCTCGCTGATTCATTCTGGTATTGAAACATCATTGCGCCACCCATCACATGCAAAATACTTCTGAACTCCGTATTCATTCCGCCGCACTGTCGCTTTGTCTGAGCTCAAGTGTAGCTCCTCATAGCGTCGATGTATCCGGTTCCTCCCTTGAGATCCCGGTCGAACGTTTCGGCAACATCGAGGACTCGTCGGATGTGGTTCATCGTCAATTTCTGTCCCTCATTCAATGACAAAGCTTGCGCTGTGCGAGCCATATTCTTAATCTGCCTTCCGTTGAGTCGATGGCGCGAAAGGATAGTGAAGTCTTCTTCGGTAAAGTTAGTAATCTCAGCGCCGTCCTGCTTGCGAATCCTATCAATGAAGCTGCGCCAGATTTCCTTGCGAGCCTTCGGTGCGAGCTCGTCGTAGCGCAAAGCGACGTGAATACGTGATTGAAAAGCATCATCTAAAAATGTAGGTTAGCGAAAGACAGGTATCGGATCATGTCACTGAGACTTACCAAAGGTCTCTACCCGATTCGTGGTAAGGAAGAGAATGCCTTGGAAATACTCCAACAAACGGAGGAAGATGGAGACAAGCGCGTTTCGATGGATGTCATGAACTTCTCGCTTCTCCAAAAACACGTCGGCTTCGTCAAGTAGGAGAAGAGCTCCCCATGAATGAGCGATGTCAAGAATCTTCTGAAGTTCCGACTCGAGTCGCGCAGGATCTGTGCCGAGCTCGCCAGCCGAGACAATGTACAGAGGACATCTCAACAGCTCGGAAATACTCTCAGCGGTGAGAGTCTTGCCGGTTCCCGGAGGACCATGAAGCACAAATACGAGACCTTTGCCTTTGCCTTGCACAACGTCGTCAATGGCCTTGGCCGCGTGGAATTTGTGCGACTCGACCAACGCACGAACGGTGGTTTTCTTGTCGTCTGGTAGAACGAGTGAGCCAAATGCGTCATCATTGTATGTGATCTCGCGAACGCCAGAAAGCGAGAACTCCAGCCACAGCTTCTCCGAAAATGCGAAGCCAAGCACGACAGGTGATGTTAGTAGAAGCTGCTCCTTTGTGTAGGTCCTCTTCTTAGTCTCGGCGCTATCAATCTTATCGAGCTGCTGCGAGCGCATGGGTTCGCCATTCTCGTCGACTTCGACGGCAACGAAGTGAGGATCGCCATGATCGTCTTCGACCCACTTGTACTTGTACTTGGGTGTCTTGTCGCTGCCGGAGAGCTCTTCGTTCTCCAATTTCTCGTTGCCACCCACCGCGTCCTCCTCATCTGAGTCAGGGCCACAACAGGAACAGTCGTCGTCTTCGCTGTCACAGAATAGGTCGTCCGCGTCCTTGGGCTTGATCAGCGAAATGGGGTAGTTCGGGTTCACCCGTCGAAAGCAGGCGGGATCGATCATCACACGGCCGTTGATGTTGATCTTCAGCACCTGCTTCTTCTTCTTCATGAAAGCCAGACCCTTGTGGAACTTGTACTGCATGCCTTCCATCTCCACGAATTGCTGTCCACGCTCAATGATGGACTTCTTGATACCTTGCGGGTCTTTGTGATACTTGAGTGGATACGTGGCAAGGCTGGTGATCTTTCGGGGACCCTTGAAGGACTCAATGTCGACCTCAAAATCGCCGTAGCCAAAGCCTTTGCCGTCGTATTCCATATACTTGCCTTCAATGCAGTACCACTCTCCGCGGGTCATGGTCTGATACTTCATCGCGTACTCGACCTTGAAACATCGGGGCTCATCCCATGCGCCATAACACGATGTGATGGCAATGTCATTTGGCGTGAAGAGTGCCCACAGTAAATCGAAAGTGATGTTTCCCGCCTCCAAAAGCGGGTAGAGAGTCTTCTTGGTCTCAGCATAGTCTTCATCGATATACTTGACGAGAATCTTGCAAAGTGCTTTTTGCTGCTCAAGCTTCTTGACATTCTTCTTCTTCTTTTCCGTCTTGATCTTGGACTTCAGCGTCTTTTTGTAGTAAGTGCGAAGATCCTCAAGGTACAGGAACAGCAGATTTGGGTCGATGGTAGGCTCCTCCGCCTCCAAGCTGACGCTCTTGCAGTCTTTCATCACCTCGGCAAGGACGGCACGCAGCTGCTTCGACTTGATATCGATGACGGTGTTCTGGTATTTGTTTTCCCAGTCGAATCGTCTGCGGACGAGAAAGGCAAATTCTGCGAATTCCCCCTCCTCATCTTCGGCACTCTCCTTCAGCTTGTAATTGTGAATATTAGAGTCCCAAAGTTGGTCCACGCGCTTATACTCCAAAGAGTCAGCCTTTTTCCCCGACTTTTTCTTCGTACTAGCTGTTGGTTTTGTACTCGATCGCCGACGCTTCGTGCTAGACTTTGGATTTGCCTTCAGTTCCGCCATCTTCGCCATGAGCTCCTGCATCTCTGTCTGGAGCTTGGCATAGTCGGCTTCAACGTCAGTTCCATCCTCTTCTGATTCCGTGTCTGCCTTCTTGGCCTTCTTAGCAGCCTTCTTCTTCCTTCTTCGACTGCTGTCGTCGTCGGAAGATGAGTCGCTGTCGTCGCTGTTGTCGTCGTCGCTCTCGCTACTCGAGTCTATTTGCTTGCTCTTTCTGCGCTTTCTGTCTCTACCCTTTGATTTCTTCAGCTGTTTTGACTTGGCCTTTTTCTTCTTGACCTCTTCTTCTGTGGAGCTGTCGTCGGAATCGGAATCATCCGAGGCAGATTCATCGTCGGAGGCACTGTCCGAGTCTGAATCGTCTCGGGCCGATTTCTTGCGATGCGACTTCTTGACGGCTTTCTTCTTCTTGTGCTTCGGCTTTACGCATTTGGCTTTCTTCTTAGAAGCGAGAGTCTTGGTCGTGTCGTCGGTTGTGGCAGGCGCAGGTTCCTCGGGCTCTTGTCGATCGGAGGGTGCAATGGCGTCATCTTGGGGGTTCTCGTCCATGTTGGTGCCGGTTCGCAGAGACGAGTTCGGTGCGAAAGTGGTTCGCTGAGGCGAGTCAGACGGAGTGGATGCAGGCGTAGGAATGGCCGAGTCGCCTACAGAGGATGATGTCGTGTTGAGCGGTGAGTGTGAGTGTGAGGTGTCAGTGCCTTGTTTGCTCATATGTGCAGTGCAGCGAGTGTCTTCTGGAGGTTTGGCAGAAAGAGGTGCGGGTGCGGCGGGCTAGAGTGAGGGCTGACACTGGCAAGCACAGTGGATACCGATGTCGACGAAGCGCTCTGACCTGTCTCACATGCAAGTGGCGGCAGCAGTCTTGCATGAACAATGGAAACAGGAAAAGTTATACAAAAGGTGGGAGAGGTGCGTCGATCATGTCATCTCAGAGGTGAGCGGGCCGCCCATCAGTAATGTGATATATGGCAGTGAGTATGTGATGGGCGGTGACTCGGTGAAAGTGAGGCTGAGGATGCGAGAATGCGAGACTCCAGGCAGTGATCAATGGTGGCGGCCGGGTGAGGTACCGCGCAGCGCAGGCGAAGACGACGGCGGTAGGGCAGGGCAGGGCAGGGCAGGGCAGGGCAGGGCAGGGCAGGGTAGGCGAGGCGAGGCGAGGCGAGACAGGGTGCAATTGCAGTGGAGTGGCTCTGAGGGTCGCGCGGCGCGGATGACTAGGCTACTGTAGTTATCAACATATGTGCCTTGGGGTCTTGGGAGGTGGTGCAGTGCAGTGCAGCCTGCAGGACTCGGCGAGTGTCACGACGAGCCGCCACACGAACCGCGCACCTGCACCTGCACCTGCACCTACTGTACTGTTCAGGACGATTAAGCGAGATGGCGGACGGGGGTGATCCCCGTAAACGGCAGCTAGCTTGAAAACGTTAGATGTAAACTTTTTAAAGGTACGGATAATTTTTTTAGGCAGTACGCTAGCTTTAACTAGTTAGATCCTGTTTTTAGGGATTACCCCTATCTACTATCTCGCTTAATCGTCCTATATACTTAGCTATACTACTCGCTACGATAGAGAGGCGGCGCGGTAGCGGTAGCGTATACGGTATAGCTAGGGGTGTTGTTAGTAGTACCTTAAGGCCGAGTACTAACGTTACTAATAAAATAGATATTAGTAACTATAATTATTAGTATCTAGTACCTTAGGCTATAGTTCTAACCTTATCTTATAATAGCTAGAAGTAGGTAATAGCTACAGTATCTTCGTAACCCTCTTAGTACTAGTATCCTTTACAGAACCGCCTCTTACGGCTCGAATAGGCTTAAATTAGTATAGATTAGCGTAGAGATTACTTCTATAGATCTTCGAAAAGGATATTACTTAGGAGACTACTTAGCGTAGGGTTACCTAGTAACTAAATAGTCTAAACTAGCTATACTACTAGGATTAGTATAGAAGATAGTACTGCTAATATTGTCTAATAGACCTATAAGCTAGACAGTTCGAGAGATATTATCGAGAGAGAATTATATACTATTTTACTATCTATTTAGACTGTCTAATCCTCTATTTTTCCGAATTCTAGTAATTCTACGAATCTTTAAATTCTAGCTTTTTAAATATACCTCCTTTAGTATATCTGTATAGCCTTAACTTCTATGCCTTTAAGACTAATAATAAAGGCAAGTTTATCTACTATATCTAGTATTAATCGAGTAATAGTACGGTACCGAAGGGCGGCCTAGTATAGGGGTAGAGGTGCCTACGGAAGTGCTAGTGATTCTAGGACTATAAGTGGTCTTGTCTAGAAGATAAGGCTAAAGAAGCGCCTCCGAAGTAGTAGCGAAGGCTTAACTTTAGTTATACTAAGCTTAAGGCGGACTAAGACCTCGCTATTACGAAAGTATTACTATATAGTAGAATACTATCTAATAAGGTCGATACGAGGCACTATTCTATATAGAAGGAGGTCTTCTATAGGTTTAATAGTAACTATAACCCGCTAGGCTATAAGTAGGAGTAGAGTATATTCCTCCTACTTATAAGGAGCTCGAGGAGTAAGTATAAGCTATATTCGACTTATAACGAGACCTAAACCCTAGCGCGAACGAGAGTAAGAGCCGTAGCGGTAGTCGCTTCTATAACCTATTACTAGATACGCTATCTAACTCGTTCTTCTACGGCCTACTTAATATAAAGAACTCTAACGCTAATACTATTAATCTAGTAAGATAGGCAACTAACTAGGTATTGCCTCTCGTTAATAGCGACCTTAATTGCTAGAATTCGCTCTAAAACAATACCTACGTAACTATAAGGGCTATATACTAGCGACTCGCTAAGAATCCGCTTACGAAGTATATAATATACGTCTTCTACGACCTATACGGTATTTAGCTATTTACTAGTAATTAGAGTAACGATAATAGAAAGTCGTACCTACTATACTATACTAATACGCTTCGCGCCGCTAGTTACGTACTTGCCTTATTTAAGAGATTAAAGAAGAGTTAGAATATACTACTAGTAGAGGCATTTACTAAGAATAATAACGTAATTCTAAGAGCCTTTACTATCGCCTATCTTACTCGCTAGGGGTTATACTATACTATAGTATATAGCCTATTTATAGCTATAAGTATTCTTTAAGAATATAGTAGAATAATAGCAAAACGGCTATTCTAAGGATCTAGTAGTAGACTCGCAAAGGGCGCCCTAGCGGCCCTCGATACTATTAACTCGCCTATATTCTAGAGCTACTTATAGAATCTTTATACGCTCCTTTAGCTTATTAATAAAGCGTACCTTATTAGCAAAAGCGATACGTTATAAGTTAGTAATATCGTACCTCGCTAGTAGCAACTACGGCGCTTAATTTAGTAGGCACTATAACCTTATAAGAGTACGTTATTATTACTATTTAACTAGCGCTTCTTAAAGCAGATATAGGAGGTTTACTAAGTAGCTTAATTATTAGATATTAAGAATCTATCTGTTTGTCGAGGCTTTAGCGAATAGCGATAGCGAGGAAGAGGCGCGTACCTACTTATTTAAGCGCTATTTTAGGTATAAAGAAGGCGACTATTATATATACGATAGCTATCTCTAATTTTATAACGAATTTATTAAATTCCGCGAGTCTACTTAGCGCTTCTTTGCTATCTATAACGAGATTAGTTACTAACGTAAGCGTAGTAATATTACTACTTATTAGGACTATATATCTCTGTAAGAAGGGTTATATTAGCAGGTAGATAGGGTAGTGGTGAATTAGTGTAGTATTCGATAAGGATCTAGGAGGAGAGGGAGGAAGGTAGGAGAGTTGGCCTAACGCTAAGCGCTAAGCCCTGCCTAAGGCATCGAGACCCTAGCTTTACTCGGCCTAGTCACATGCCAATCACGTATAGCCTCTTTAGCCCTAACATACGCTTCCCTTCTAAAGGCCGCGCCCTCGTAGCCTGCCTATATTCCAATCTCGACCTACTAATTCTATATCTTTCGAGCGAGCGTTTAGCGCTATAAACTTTATATAAAACGACTACCGCTCGAAGCTATCTATTAGCTATACTAACGACTATACCTATATCTATATAAATAGCTATACCTTATATAGAAGGCCTATAGAAGAGATAGTAAAAAGATAGCGTAAGGCTAAATTACGAGAGATATAATAGCAATAGCTAGTAACTAAGAAACAGATCTCTAAGGCAGAATTAGAAGCATTATTAGCCTTTAAAGAAGTAGTAATAAAGGACTACTACTTACTACCGAGCGACCCTCGTTATCTTTATAGACTATACTAATATAACCTTAAAGAGATATTTAATATATACGGTACTAGCGCTAGTAAGTAAGAGCTAGAATATAAGGAAGAAGCTACTACTATCGACTACGACGATATATTTATAGCGCTTCTAATAAGTTAACTAGTAGTAAGTTAGCTAGCGGCAAGTTAGGTACTATAGAGCTAGTAATAATAACTATACTCGCCCTTCTTTAAGCTACTAGATAGCTAGGCTTCTAGCCTCTACGACCCTTTAGTTAATTACTTATAACTTTTATAAGAGTAGTAGTTACTAGAAATATATAGTATTTATCTAGGTATAGAAGTATATAGATAGGCGCTATTAGAAAATAGGTATATAGCAACGTACAGAACACCCTCTACTAATCTTAGTAGTAGATAGTAGAACTAAACCGTGCCTTTCTAAGAATAGGGCAGAGCGTTTACTATTAACTAGGCTACGTACGGATAGTATATCTGCCGAGCCGGCAACCGAGTATATCCGTATAAGCGACCGAGCTTTTCCGCGTATACGCTAAGCAGGCTCTACGCTAGCGGGATAGTACCGTAGTGTACGTAATAACATTATATAATTGTTATATAGGCTTGCTAAGGTAGGATAGAAGACTTTACTTACTTAGGTTCTTATAATTATCTCCTTCCCCCGGTATAGCTATCCTAGCTATAGGGCAATATAGTAAATTATACTATTTCTTATACTCTACGCTATATATACGCGTCTTATACGTACCTATCGCTAGGCTATAGTTGCTAGGTACGTTATAATTTGCCTCGTAGTTGCTTGTTTGTTTATAGATTTAAATAGACCCCGCAGTAGTTCGGTTTCCGAACTACTAAACGTATATAGTTTAGTTTCTTAGCGGCGAACTAGCTCCCTAGTTCCGGTTTAGTTTTTTCGAACTATATAGATTCCTAGTTTGAACTAGAGACTATATTAGTTTTACTATAAGGACACTCTTATTCGACTGCCGGCTACGATTGCTAGCTATAATAGTAACTATATTACATTTACTACGCTCTTTTGCCGTTGCTAGGGCGTAGTTGCCGTTGCTAGGGCGTAGTTGCCGTTGCTAGGGCGTAGTTACCGTTACTAGGGCGTAGTTTTACTATAAGGACACTCTTATTCGACTACCGGCTACGATTGCCGGCTATAATAGTTACTAGGTTATATTTACTACGCTCTATTACCGTTACTAGGGCGTAGTTGCCGTTACTAGGGCGTAGTTGCCGTTGCTAGGCCGTAGTTGCCGTTACTAGGGCGTAGTTGCCGTAGTTACGAAAGCTTACCTATATAACGTTACGTAGGCGGTAATAATTAGGGCTTCGCGACATTCTTATACCTTTTAAATTCTTCCTCTATACCTATACCGATAATAACTACTATACGCTACGCCCTGCCCCTTTTCCTTATAATAGCAAGAGAGAAGCGCGCCGCGCGCTAAATAGAAGATAGAACTAAAGACCGCGAGTTTGTTTTGCCTAAGCGTCTAACTAAAAAGCGTAAAACTAAAGAGGAGTACTCTACGAAGAAGAATTCCGTACGAAACCGCGAGAGAAAGGAGAAGATAGATAAGGATAAAAGAGCTAAGGATAAGAGAAGAAAGGCGCGGAATAAGGTATTCTATCGATAGCTAGCGCCTATAGAAAAAAGTGAAGGTTAGAATAAGAAGACAAGCTAAGAGAAGGCTAAGAGGAGGAAAGAATTGCGGCTAGTTTTCGAGCGTAAAGTTCTAGTAGCGTAAGTCAATCTAGCTAGCGGCCGTAGCCGGTAGCCGTAGCCGGTAGCTATAGCCGGTATATTTTTCTTTAAGACGTTAACTAATAGCATTTAGACCTATAGCCGCTACCTCTATCGATACGACCGATAGTAACGGAGATATTTAGATAGCCGAGAACAACAATACTAGAGTTTAGGATACCGCGATAGAGCTTAATACTAAGAATAAAGGAACTAAAAAAAGCGAGGAGATACCCTACGTCGATCTAGTAATAGGTATAGTCTTAGGGCCTAACGCTATAGACGATAAGCGCTAGGAGTAGATCGAGTATAGTTAAAGAGACGAGATACTAGTAAAGGGCTAAGGTATAAGTCCTATTAATCTAGAAAATTATAGTTAAAGCTACTACGAAAAGCTAGTAAGGATTAGAATCGAGACTAGTCGTCTTTATATCCTCGATATAGAGTAGAAGTTTCTTTATTAGTATTAGAGCGAAGCCTTTACGTCTATAAAGGCAAAGTAGCTTGCGATTAATGCGATCGCGGCTAGGTATTTAGGGACGGTAGAAGTATTACTAAAGGAGGAAGGGGTATAGGTAATTATTCTATACTCGGTATATATAGCCGGCGTTCGTAGCCGGCAGATACTAATAGTTAAATAGAAAGCGTTTCTCGAGGGTAGAGTGCTACTACTATATAAAATCTTTACTAAGGTAGAGAGGGCTTGTATCCGGAATCTAAGCGCCTAGTAGGATAGGTTAGCGTTAGAATTCTCTGAATCTCTATATAAGCCTCCGAAGGATTACCTATTCTAGCGATACGGCTTTATCTCGACTACTTCGTAGGTACCCGACGAAGCTCGAGCGCTCTTTAAGGTCTTTACTAAGAAGCGGAAGGAGTTCGAGGATTAGGATTAGTTAATAGAGCTATTAGTTAGTCTTAGGTTTCGTAGTTAGACTCGGCCTAAGCATTTGCTTATCGAGTGTCTTATACCGAAAGAGGATAGATTAAGACTAAAAACGAGCTTAGATTCGTTAGATATAGTAGCTCGGTTCCGTTAGTAGGAGAGAGCCGCCGTATAGAAGGTAAAATTCAGGTAGTTAGGGTAGCTAGGAAAGAAATTCTAGTAGTTAGGCTAGCTAGGGTAGCTAGGAAAAAAAATCTAGTAGTTAGGTAGCTAGGAAACGAAAAAAAAGGTAGCTAGCTATTTACTATCTAGCTATTCCTAACGATACGATACTATAAAAGAAAGGGTGTTTCCCTAAGCTACTAGTATATATCTACTACTCCTAAGTCCTTACCTTACCGTACGAAACCTTAAAACATACCGACCGACATTGATATATACTAGGCGCTATACTAGGAAGGGTAATAACGAGACGATAGTCGAAACAGTCTAATATACGAGCGAGATTGCGATAACGTCGAGAGGAGGTCGTATACTTACCTTCGAGCCTATCGAGTCCTAGACGACGATTAGGGCTAGATTTATCCTCTCCGAATCCTAGTAGTAGGAATTTATTATAGGGTACTACTACCTAGTCCTTACCTTTACGGAGTCTAAGTAGAAGGTTATTCGGAGATATAAGAATATCGAGTATTAACCCGGAAATCTTCGAAAAGGCTAGCTAGGCGTATCTTTAGAAACCCGAGTATATAGAGTAGTTTAATTAATAGGTCTATAAGATATAGTGACGGAGCTCTATATATACTAGAGGCTTAATAGCTTTACTTTAGCCTATTGTCGCTTCCTATTCTTCCTATACCTTCCTTACTAACCTTACTATGCCTATTGTCGCGACAAACCTTACTTAGACTCGCTACACTTCCGCGCCTTGCCTCGCAATGTTCTTCTTCTATCGATACCGATACCGATACCGATAGCGACAGCGACAGCAGTAGCCGCTATAACTAGTATTCCGCGCGACCTTATTCTTAGCGTAGCTTTAGTAGCATTAGCTTTAGCATTAGCATTAGCTTTAGCTTTAGCTTTAGCTTTAGTAGCGCACTTACTAGTAGGAGGAGGAGAATATTTATCGTAAGTCGCGAGGCGTATCGCTATAGACTCGCTACTAACTCGCTCTAGACTTCGACGCCCTACGACTATAAATACCTACGATTTCTAGTACTATAGCGCGCAGATATAGCAAGAGCTGCTCGATTAGATAGCGATACCGGATAAGAAGAAGGCGGTATTAAACAGACTGCGGAAATATAAGGCTACTAGAATTATTATAGAAACGGACTCTAGCAAGCTTGCACTAGCGCTATACTACTACTATATACGCTCTAATAACTTTAGGTGTCGTATGCTTAATACTAAGGGCGAGCGTGTCTACGCTTATTGCAAGTGTAAGGGCAAGTCTAGCTATATAGCTAGTATAGAAGAGGTTGAAGAAGACGATAGAAATAGCGAGCTAGCCGCGATATAGGCGCGAGTCGAGGCCGCAGAGGCAAAGAATACTAAACTAGAGGCAAAGATTAAGGCATTAGAAGCTAGGTTCGATAAGTTAGAAGGATATTGCCTCTCGTAGTTTAAATAGCTTAAGAATAAGGCTATTATTAAGTCTAAGGATATATATACGATATAGAAGGAGCTGTAGCTAAATAGCGATCGCGAGCTACTAGTAGATAATGTTTAAGGAGCGAGTCTATAGCGAGTCTACTACGAGTCTACTATTCTATCTCTTCTTCTTTAGTCGTTAACTGCGCTTTGTCTTCTTAGCCTCTCCGCCGCTATTAGCCTCTCCGCCGCTATTAGCCCGTCTACCGCTATTAGCCTATCTACCGCTATTAGCCTGTCTACCGCTATTAGCCTGTCTACCGCTATTAGCCTATCTACCGCTATTAGCCTATCTGTTAGTAGGTTGCTAATCGCTCGACCCTTTCGGAGTAGGCGTGCCTCGCGGTATACTCGCGGTAGTATCGCCGCTTAAGTCAATTATCTCGGGCGGCTAATTCGTATCGATAACCTTCTTAGTCTATAGCTTTTCTTTCTTAATCTTAATGCTATTAACTACCTTTTGCTAACTCGCTATATTACTCGTACTAGTTGTAAGAAGGGTTATGTCAGCAGGTAGATAGGGTGGTAGTGAATTAGTTTAGTATTCGATAGAGATCTAGGAGGAGAGGGAGGAAGGTAGGAGAGTTGGCCTAACGCTAAGCACCAAGCCCTGCCTAAGGCATTAAGACCCAAGCTTCACTCGGCCTAGTTATATGCCAATCACGTATAGCCTCTTTAGCCCTAATATACGCTTCCCTTCTAAAGGCCGCGCCCTCGTAGCCGGTCTTTGTTCTAGTCTCAACCCCTATTGCTGCTAACTTAGCAGGTCTAATAAGCCGCTTAGTCCGCGCTAAATTAAACACTCAACCACCTAATTATATAACTATGTCAAACCTTACCTTCTAACACAATGTCTAACTCTAACTGCGCTATCCCTATATATAATGAACTATAAAGTGATATATATCTACAAGAATTGAGGGCCTTCGACTAATTATAATACGAGCGCGTCTTCCCTGCTATAATAGGTAAACGTACGAGGTATTGCAGCCCTGCCTCCGCTCTACGTAATGTCGTACCGAGTTCTTTGCGTCTACTCTTAAAAGACCTAGCTATGTCCGCTTCCGAGGGTTGTTCTTATTATTACGAGGGCCATTATTGTTCGTAGTTTCGCTAGCCCTAATTGGCTAGGTTTAGTAGCCTTTAATTATTAATCTTATCTTATCTTTTCCGAAAAAACATAGCTCGTCTAGTTTCTATAGGTAAAGGCTATTATAAGTACAGTAGTAGAGGTTCGCCTCGCTTAAAGGGTTAGATAGATCGAGGAGTAACCTATTATCCGCAAGATCGACCCCGGCTAGCTTAGCTCTATAGTTTTGCCCTTAGTTAGTCTATTAGTCGCTTAATCTTTTGACTTAGTTAAAGTTTTAACTTAGCTTTAAAGTTTTGATTAAACCTTTAATAGGCTCAATCTTTTAACTTAGCTAGTGTAGTGCCTTAGGCTCGTAGTGTAGGTGAGGTTGTGCCTACGGCGTAGCGACAATAGTAAGTAATATTGACAATAGCGGCGCTAGTCGTCTTAGCGCTAACTTTACCTTGCTTTCAATTTCCTTCTTCGACTAACAATACACTCGGTAACACCGTTACTAATATAGCCGCGTTAGCCGCCGGCGCACTGCTAGCTTGTAGCGCGACACTATTACCTTCATTACCGTTATTCGCACGCACGCGCGCGTCGCCCTTGTCGAACGCTTAGGTCTCGAGGCCTCGATAGAATAAAGAACAAGAGGGGGACCTATAGGGCGTATTAGGGAAGAGGTAGAATCCTTAAAAGAGCAGGCAATTAGTTAACGCGTCGTAGTGCGCCTAGTATAGTCTTATTGTCCTTTATTGCTAATAATTGCTTGCCTCTAATTAGTTAGCTAATAGCACCCCGAGGGTAGCATTGTCCTAGGCTTAGTAGTAACATTATAGGCACTATAAGCTCTTAGCCTTCTTCGTGTTCTTTACGCTAGTCCAATACTTATCTAACAATTCAGTTATATCCTTAAACGAGTCTTTAGCCTCCTATAAGTCCTATTTAGGTAAATAGCCTTGCTATCTTAACAGGTACTCCTTCTTGCCTTGCCTAGTCCGGTGCTTTAGAATACGTTCTATAGACTATAGTTCCTTACTATCCGCTAGTATATCTTTATATTTAGTAGGGGCTTCTTTATTAGAGTCTCCGCAGTAGTAGTATAGTTTAAGGAGGGAGATGTAGAAGGTGTTATAGATAGTATAGTGTAGTAGGAGCTATAACTAGTAGGCCTATGCGGAGGAGCCCTTAACTTCTCGAATGCGGAATAGACCAATGTATCTTAGTACGAGCTTAGGCCTTGTTTTGCTATTAGGGGATAGGTGCTTGCGGATGCGGAGGTTCTTGGTGCTTAGTATAACTATATCGCCTTGCTTGAAGGTTATCGGTATGTAGTGTTTGTCGTAATAGGCCTTCTAATAGGCCTAGGCCTTCGCTAGTTTATTAGCCATCTTAGCGTGAATCTCTCGCATCTTTTAAACCCTCTTAATAGCCGCTAGTATCTTAGGTGTTAGTACTTAACACGCTTCCCTTTCCTTGCGCTCGGCCTCGAGCGATAGGGGGTCTTATAGCAGCGCAGGGTTGCTTCCTATTATAGCGAAGTAAGGTAATACCTTAGTAGATAAGTAGACACTATTATTGTACACGAATTCGGCTAGTTGCAGGAGGTTGACCTAGTTATTAGGGTTCTTATTAATGTAGCTGTGTAGGTACTGCTACAGCGTAGCATTCTGCCTTTCGGTCTAACTATCTGTTTGTAGATAGAATGCTATAGACAGGCGATGCTTGAGTCTTAGCTATAGGCAAATCTCACTCTAATAGTAAGATATAAATGTCGGGCCTCGATCGGAGACTATCCCCTTAGGGGTTCCCTAATAGCTATAGAAGATGTTGCTCTATAGCGACTTAGCTAGGTTAATAGCCGTCCAATCCTTTCGGGTAGGAATGTAACGAGCGCCCTTAGTAAACCGATCTACGATAACTAGGATAGCATTATATACATCCTTGCTGCCCCTTCGCT